TGGAGTAGGGACCAGGCCAAATGCTGACGAATTAACAAAGTACTGTGGGCAACAATGATTTATATAAGTAACTAGTTTGCACAAAGTCTACCATCTTGTATAGTACATTCAATTAAAAAAAAAAAAAAGTATCGCATGGGCAATAGGCCCAGAGTTTCCTAGCCACCTCACTTTGCCCCTCAGGTGTATACAAACAGATAAGGGGCTTCATTTTTTTGCATGGCATCTCATTCGAGGTTTCCAAGATTGAATATTTAATCAGTTGAACCAGACCTCAAGATAATCTTGATTTCAGCTGGTCTAGAAGCAAAAGAGGAAACCACAACCACTTACAGGTTTGGATATATTGTTTGTTTGAATTTTATTTTCTGGTAATTTTTCCTTTTATAATTTGGTAGGGACCTTCTCCTAAGAGTCTGGTCCCAAGGATTAATGACATTTGTACTGTCTTTTCTGGAGTCGCTTTTAAAGAAACCAGAACTGTTTAGTTCTTAATTCAGAAATGAAATTCAATGAACTTTTATTAGTGATGAAATGATGAAGGCAAGGATACCCCACTGCTTTCTGACTTGAATTAGATAAACATACCACAGTTCCAGTTCACAGAAGGAGGCATCTATGGATCTTCATACCCACATAGTGAAGTTCAATAGCCCCTTCTAATGAAGTAGGTAATGAACTTCTAGATGTAAAAGTAATGGTGTCCAGAACATAGGTTCTGAGCATAAGAGAGATGCAGTTTTGCTGAGTCCCAGCTGAGCCCCAGCAGTGACTTCCAATGAGCTACTTATTGTTCTTGCCAAAAGTTCTGTCACCACCAAGCACTGGGTGAACAGAATGGACAAAGCCTTCTACACACTGGAAAAGTAATCCTCTGGCCTTTGAAATAAATAATCACATATGAGTTATTCTCAATACATGGCTAGAAGAAAATAAATGGCTTTTTTCCTTATTTACTCTAAAGACTAGTTTAAGTGAGGATACTATGATATCAACTAAGAGGTACTGGGAAGGGAAAATGGGATAGCATTTCCTAGTGGAGTCCACTAATTTTCTGATTAGGAACATGCTAAACTGGCTAAATCTACAACCACAACATACTTTTATAATACACAGCATGACTAGAGACTGACCAGCATAGGTCTTCTTAGAATTAAAGTATACAACTGCATATGATGAATCTTAAAGCATGTTTTAAAACAGATGTAACCGAAGCATACAGCACAATACTTCTAGAATAGCCACATCACAACCACCAATAAAGAGTTTTGCTTCTAATCGGTCTGCCATATGCTAATATTTGTAAAGAGCTCTTAAATGACTTGAATAAAAAACAAAGACATTTTCTTTCGGTAGACACAGCTGAAAGCCATGATGCCTTTGAGCAGTTGGTAAAATTCATGCCAATCTGCCAGGCTGTTGCTTGCTTCTAAATATAAGCCTCATGGCTAAGAAAGATTTCCTAAGGCGGCTAACCTAGAATTTAAGTTCTCAAACATATATAAAGTAACTCTGGTTTCCTCCCAAAGTATGCACCTTTTAGCAGGTCCAAGACAATGGAAACGAACAATAGGATTGCAAGGATTTGAGAACAGTGATAGAGGATTCTTAAAGAGAATACGATGTTGAGGAATTCACTTCTGCAGTGATAGCCTGGAAAGCCTGGGGCCAGAGGCAAGTTCTGCAGTGGTTGACCTGGAATGGTCTCGGGCAGGACTTCTAAACATTGGCACTAGTTTTAGGCTGGGACACTCTGGAGGATGTCTAGCAACATCCCTGGCCTCTACTCACTAGATACTGGTAGCAGCCCAAGACATCCAAATGCCTCCAGACATTGTCAATTGTGCCCTGGGGAACAAAACTGCCCTTGGCTGATAAGTGCTGCTGTAAAGACAGCTCACTTGAGCCTCTTGGCATGGGGCACTCTCTTCTGGCCCAGGGCTCTGGAGAGAGTCCTAAACTTCAGTCAAGATTGAACAAAGATCAGTTAAAGTTTACATAGAACGTCAGAGAAGAAAGACAGGATGACAGAAGTGAAAATAGAAAAACAGTGGAGCCAAGGTTCTTCTCAAAAGGAGATCAGCAATAACTTCCTAACACAAAGTACTTCATCAGCCTTCACTTCAACCTTTGTGTCCTTTAGGATGTCAGGGCAGATAATAGAACATGGATGTCATCGATTCCCCCTTCTAAAGAAAATGTGGAGGTTTTGTGACTTTCAGTCAATTCCTTCCTGCCACGGATGGCATCTTTTTGAGGCCAATGAATAACCTACCAGAGGGGGAAGTGACAGTTAAAAGCTAAGAGAGGGCCTATTAGAAGAAATCTAATCTGAGAGGAAATGTTCCTGTCCCTATCTGTGAGCAGGAAGAGAATGAATGGGATTGTAGATTCACTTACAGCTTATTGAGGATCAAGGAAAAGTCAGAACAGACAAGAGCTAAGAAGAAGATAAAAGAGCTAGCTCAGAAACAGTAGTTGAAAACATTGTAGCTATTTTCTGGCTCAAATCTGGGAATGTAGGAAAAGTAAGTAATTGACTTCATCAGTTAGGATTAGTTTGCTCTAGGTAGAAGGCAATATTTCTAGCCCTTCTTTGAAGAACCACCATGAATATAAATGTTCTGCAAACATCTGAGATCCCAGTGTTAGCAAAGATGACAACATGGGAAACCAGCCCCTTGGTGATGACGAGCCACTAATGCCATAACATGGCAATGGGACCTCACAGTTCCTAAGCACACAGCACAGTGAGAAGTCTTTCCAGAGGAAACAAAATGTAATTTCTGGTTTGCAGGGGGAAGGGAAGAAGGGGATACAAGTTACGGATCTATTATGAAAAAGAAGAAGAATTAAATATACACCTTTTAGTGTTACTATATGCAGGCAAAAACTGCTGAGGGTCTACCTCACTTGGATAACCAAAGAGTTGCCTGGGAAAAGCCAGGATTCAGAGCTACCCAGACAGTACTGAACAGGTAACAGAAACAAGATAGGAAAAGAACTCAAGAGCATGCAAAATTAATTAAATTGTTTCCATGATAGTACCCAGTTGAGTTTCATTTTAGTGCCTATTATACTTACTAAAATTAAATAAAAGCACCTTAAAATGACCTCTATATATAATCAATACACATCATTACAGTATCTATATAAATATGCAATATGCACACAATTTAAGCTTCAAAGAATCTAAGACCTTTATAATCTTCATAATCATCAGTGCTATGATTCTCAAAATCTCAGGGAAGGGTTAACAGTAACTCAGCATATTTCAGTGACAGCTGACTTTATTTGGGGACTGACACTCTCAGAATTCTGGAACAAGTAGTAAATACCGAAAAGTTACCTTTTTGAGGGATGGGAGTGATCTCTAAAAGTCTTATTGCTAAGAAACTACTTTTTAAAAACTCTATGACTATTGATAGACGATGGTGTTGAGGTGTTTATTTTTGTCAAAGGTGGTTTAGAAAGGTGGGTATAATGCTTGCTGGCCAGAGGCCTTGATGATATTTGATACTAACTCGGGAGTTGAAAGTGATCAAAGAGGGAAGGATAGGTCCTGTTCTGATGGATGGGGTGTATGTATATACAGGTATACATGATGACCTTGATATAAATGGACAGTCCCAGGAAGGAAAGAAGGATATAGCAATTTTCTCTACATCTGGAATTGCTTCAGGAGCCTTTTAAATGTATTAGAAGAGCAACAACAACAACAACAAAAGCATTTAGAAGAAGAAATGCCATACACATAGTTCATATCCCACCTGGAGGCAAAAATCTCCAGGAGGGAAGACAGCATTCAGGAGCATAGAGCTGGTTTGCAAGATCCGCAGACAGGTGCCTCCTACAACCTCACAACAAGGAATGTTCCCTGGCAAATCTTTGGTCTACACTCTAACACTAATGCTAAGTGGAAGAACACATTCTCTGCAAAGACCTACGCACATCACTTCTGTCCGTCGTCTTCTGTGCAAGTTAATATCCCTGGACACACATGAGAGCCATGTGTCTGAGGACAAAAGTGAGGCCTGCTGGGATCCTTACTGTCTTATCCAACGTTCTTCTCCTGTAGGCCTGAAAAAAGGTGCTGCATTTGTCTGCTATCAAGGATCATGTCTAGAGGCTACTGCTGGGGCCAAAAAGTTGAGCAAAATTCATACTGTTACAGTCACATGTAGCCACAATTCAACTCCCTTTATTTTAAGTATAATACTCACTTCATATCACAAATGTATAAAAATATGGCAGATAGTGTCATAACGATACTTTCTTTAAATGAATATATTTATAAAACAGACAATTATTTACTGTATATATATTTATATATAGAATAAAATACTCCTGATGCAATATATAAATGTTACTGTTTAGTTTTTATAGAAACTACTGTAGCTGTCCCACTGCTTCACAATGTTTCAAACAGCTCAAAATAACTTTACAACATAAAAGGTATGATTCTAACAGTACAATATTAATTATAAATAAATGTTACAAATCCTATCAAATATGGAAGCTTAGAAAACAATTTAAGACATACAGTTCATTTGCTAACCCTTCAAAGGGATACTCCTAAATTACAATAAACCCCACAGTTAGTTTAGTCAGAAAAAAATATGTGGTAAGGGCATCGGTCAACATGAATTTTCTATCCCTCATAGCCAGGACATACCCTGACTTCCCCAAGTTCAACAGAGATTGCACTAAAGCTGGAATGTAACGGGGAGAAACTGGCAAGAATTTTTTCTTCCTCAATGGCACAATCTATCCATTCTCACACAAGACCTGTGGGGAGTGGTGATCCCTAAGGAACTCCCGTGGCTCTAAGATCCCTGACTAGCATTTGTGACTGTGAGGAGCCAAACAGCCCCTCTCGCACACAATATTGCACACACCTTCATAAAGCTGAAAATACTGGCTTACTACCCTGGCCCAGCCCATTTCCCAGCCCACCCCGAACTCCCCCTCCCAACTGGCTTCTCTCCCTTCCCCCACCCCCATCCCAGCATAAATTACAAGGCTGTTTCTTTTAAATCATTCAGATTTGGCATTCGTGAGCGATTTGTTCTGTTATAAGGGTGCCCATTTGGCCCACTCTTGGCACCCAGCTGTTCGGAATAGGAAGGACCCTCTGTGGCACTCCTGGTCACAGAGGACACATGCCATCCAGGATCCATCTGACCTGGCAGCTGAAGGGCTGGCCTGCCCTTTGGTGTAGGCTCCTGCCGGATGTTGCTGCTCCCACCAGAGGCCTGGCTTAGGGGATGAATCCGAATTTCTGAGAAGGAATTTTTGGTTTGTTGAGCTGTTAAGGGCTGGAAACGAGGATCTGAAGAAGCCGGGTGATTGGTCGATGAAGAGAGATGTAACAGCTTGCGAAGAGATTTTAGTGGTTGGCTCTGAAAGGAAGATTAAGGTGTACACAAGGTTTCATTTACAGTAGGCAAGGGAGCTAGGCAGACATGCAGTTCTGGTGCAAGGTAACTCGACAGAGGCAGGAAGGGAGAACATATGGCTGGAGAGGCAAGCCCAGCTCTATCTGGTCTCTAGGTTTCATCAAACAAGATTTTAGTGACTGCCTTTTAAATGAAGGCCTAGAAATCTAGAGAGAATAACTGGAGCCACTCAAAGGTAGCACCTGACAGTCAGGGCTCCTTTGATCTGGCTGCATCTTGTCTTTACCCAGAAAGTGGAAGCAACAAGAGATAGGCGTGCCTCTCCTTTTTCAGAAGAGTTCCCAAATAAGTCTTCCCTTTGTATTTTGTCAGTGTTAGGATTAATTTTAATTGTCAACTGACTGTATTTAGAATCCCTGTGGAAGGGATGGAGAGATAGCTCAGCACTTAAGAGCATTGGTTGTTCTTCCAGAGGACCAGAGTTCAATTCCCAGCACCCATGAGGCAGCTTGCAACTGTCTGTAACTCCAGTTCTAGGGAATCCAGCATCCTCACACAGACATATATGCAGGCAAAACTCAAATGCACATAAACTAAAAAAATAAATAAATACATGTAGAATCCCTGAGTGTGGGCAGCATCATATCACGGGCTGGTGTCCTTCATTAAGTAAAAGGAGAAAGTAGGCTGAACACTGGTGTTCATGACTCTCTTTTTATTGACTGTGGATACACTATGACTTGTTGTCATCCCTTCCCCACTGTGATGGACTGTACCCTCAATCTGTGAAGGTATTTTGTTATAGCAATGGGAAAAGTAATTATTACAACTCAATAGAACTTGGACACATAACCACATTTGGCTGCAAGAGAAGCTGGGAAAATGTAGTGTCTTAGGTAGAAATGAGGCTAGTTACAAATTATATACCATTTATCTCTTACTTGTTTAATGTTTCCTTTCTCTTGATACTACATCTTCATGTTCTATGATGTACTTTCACAATTTAATTTTCATCTTTTGGGGTGGGAATGGGAACAGTCTAGGCACTAATCATACAGAACATTTATTTTTAACTGCTCACAAAAACACTGGATAATGAACTTCCTGCCTGTAGAATGGCTGCTGGTCAAAGGCTCTACAGGGTACAGTGGAGAGAGACTGGTGTGAAAACAGAAGGCTAGGTCCTGGATGAGACCTGCCCCTCAGCAGCCAACTATTTTCAGGTAACTCCTGAGCCTTAAGTTTCTCAAATGTGAAAGGCAACACTTTCTCCTCTTCCTCTACCTTTAGCATGAGGTGCAGGAGAGCCACTACCAGAAGAGGCATAGAAAGCCAGGTATGGCAGCATATGATTGTAGTCACAGATAGATACTTGGGAGGGTGATAGAAGAGAATCATATGTTTGAGGATAATTTGGGTAACTTCTCAATATTCTCTAAAAGGCAAAATGAAACAAATAAAAACCACACACACACACACACACACACACACACACACACACACACACACACACAAAGAAAAACAACCCATAAACAAATAAACCAACCTGCCACTGAAGCTCCTCTAGCTGGTAACCCTCAGAGTACTTTTATCCTGAGTGCCATGGTATAAGCCACATACATTTTAGCTATCAGTCAACTCTGAATAACACTGATAATCTCTAGGAAAACTATAAGATTTGAAGAAACAGGGTGCTAACCACCAAGGTATATGAACTTAGAATCAACTCAAGGAGAAAGAGCTTCCAAAGAAGCACCCTCCAAAACCCTCCAATGTTTTATCCAAAGAAAGCTGTCGGGTCCCCACAGGAGGTGGCAGAGTATTCTACACACCAGAGATACTCAAAAGGGCTCTTTCTCTAAAATCATCTCTTTTATGTTGCTGAGGGTAGCCTCCAACTCTTGATCCTCTCTGCTCCTTGCCTTTATGTAGCCCACAGATACTCTCAAGCTGTCCATACTCGTGTCATCAACTCCCAAGTGCTGAGACTATGATGTGTGGCAACATCTTGACTACTTTTCCTTTCTTATTAAAACGATAAAATGAGTCTTTACTAGTGAATTTTATAAAATTATCAAACAGTCAGAATAACCCACAATCATCTGGAGATGTGAAGTTACTAGAAAAGGGCTCCTCAGCATCAGGCTCTCAGACACTGGTGTTTCTAGTTTGAACAATCCCCCAAAATAGAATATCTGATTCTGTATGCCCCTTAACCCCCAGAATAGATTATGCTCTAAGTATAAAATGTAAATGGCCAGGCAAAGAGAATGGCAATTCTGGGGAACTCCTGTTTATAAGCTCCAAGTAACAGATTATATAAGTCAGACCTATAATCTTGCAAGTGGGATATAAAGCTAGGGGACTTGTTAGTTCCAGGACAGTTTGGATTACACAGCAAACTGCAGGCCAACCTGGACTAACTGGAGAAATGTTTTCTTAAGAACAAAAGAATAAAATACAAAGCCTATAAAAAGCAGAGCCATTGTTTCTAAATTCCAAATATTTGGTTAAAATAAGCATGGTAGATTATGTTACTATAATTGTTATTATGGGGTACTGAAGAGATCTAATACTGAAATATTTTCAATTAGAATAACTGTTTAAAACAGATAAATGTTAGTTACTTGAAAAAAAAACATTTTTAAAGTTCTCCATTACGGAAAGAAAATATAACCCCATGTTACTGTGCAATATGCAACTCCTATTATAAATGTTTGCCTGCCTTTATAAAAAAGCAGTCTGGATTTCAGAAGTTGAAATATTCTTTCAAGAAAGCTATCTAGTATCTGGTTTTCAAGGCCCAATTTATATGCTAGCATCTTAAAAGTTATCTTAATCCTCTTACAACCTCGGTTTAACTTCCCCAATATTTTGTAACATACCTTACTTTTTACTAAGATGTTCATGAATCTTTGTCTTCTGAACTGTAGCCTACTTGTGGGCTAGTACTATTTCTTCTTCATCTCTCTACATTGCCCCTCTGCCACCCATAGCTAGATAGTGGGGGCTAGCTCTATTCCCAATGGGAAAGGAATCACTGATAAAATCATTCCGACTTCCAAAGTGCATCAAGGCTACTCGTTAAGGTCTATTTGCAGGAGGCTAAAATTTTTCTTCTTTGCCTTTCCATCACAGGAAACACTGTAGTCTGAAAATTGGTGAGCTGAACTCACCTGGGTCTGTAGATCTGAGAGCTTCTCAGGTCGCCACTCCTTTGGTCTGCTGCTTGCAGTGCTAGAAGAATGAATGGCTTTCTGTAAGGTCAGAAGATCAGGACTATCAGTGTTGGGTACCTAGAGGGAAAGAAGGAGAAGGATTCAACAAGCATACCAATAACCCTAACTAAGATATATAACCACACCCAAGAGGACACCCAAACCAAAAAGCAAATCAAACTAAACCAAAATTCAAAAGAGGGAGAAAAAAAGCAAACAGTCCCAGTAAGTAAACCAAAACTCTTCAAATGTTCATGATGCAAGTGGTGCTAGTTAAATTATGATGCCTTCTTAATAATTTTCCCTGCATTAGGAAAAATTGGCAGATGTCATGCACTTGGTTAAAACCTTAACCCTTAAAGCATTCCCATGCTGTTAGTTTCAGTAGCTGTAAGAGAGAGCAGTTAAAGTGGACTGGACCAGGAACTGTTGTCGTATCCTCATTCCAAACTGTAGTTAGGTTATGAACCAGTTCAAAAAAAAAATTCATGCTGGGAATATGATGCAAATTCTGTATTTGATCTTGCCAAAGAAGTATAGGGGGATTTCAGGGAGAGAGAAGTGGGGAGATATGGTTTGAATCATAGTATCAAACTGCCCAGTAAATCTGGGTTTGGCATTGTACACTTAGAAACTGCTAGAAATTTATGCCACAAATTCTGAATGAATGCAATTGGTCTATTCAGTGACTTTGGTGGACAAAGGAGAGTTGTGCCAAATGCCAGGCAAAAGCCATGGCTTTACACCTAGTATCCAGCAAAAGTTAAGAGGCAGGCAAGGAAAGAACAGGTTATCAACTAGTACAAGCTGCTTTTTTTTTTTTTTTTTTTTTTTTTTTTTTTCATGGCGCCTGCTAGCTCAATTAATTTGGTCAGTTCAAACATGGTTTCAAAGAGACAAACTGCCAACCAAATGGTGACAAGGTCCATGCAGTAAGCCAAGTGCAAAGACATTTGTTGATTGCAAATGCTAATCAGATTCTTCACAGGAATTAAAAGACTTCATGAATGCTGTCTGCCAACAATTGGCTAATCGGTCCAGCGAAAACAGCCTTACTAGTTTGTTTAGTAGGCTATGCTTCAACATTAACTGATGCAGAAAACCCAAACTAGATACAGATATATAACATATATAAAATATATGCATTATATATATATCCATGTATCCCAGTGAATTTATGGAACTGGCTCAGGCACAAAGAGAATATGACCCCATGAAAATAAGACATGCTGTTATCATCAGTAAAACAAGTTTACTGGAGCAGTTTTCAGGGCTACTATACATAAAAATGGGTACCATGGGTGGAGTGACTACAGGAAGCTTTTTCAAAGAAGAGCTATGCTTTAAATGATTCTTTGAATTAAAAAGAGGAAAGAGGGATTTCTTGATGGTTGGATTCTCCCCGTTGGTAGACTCTGTCTGTAATATAAGATACAAATGAGCTAATTGCAAAAAGAAAAAAAAATTAAGTAAAATAAATAGGTTCTTCAATTGAAACTACTAGCCCTTGGTAGTCCTCAAATGATTAAATGTTAACACTCATGGAAAAAAAAATCTTTGTGCTATGCATCTAGAGAGATTATTTGTTATTTTTCAACTGGAAATAATAATGTAAGTTTAGGCAAGTACAAAAATTTTCACAGCATACACCATGCCCTTTAGGCATCTGCTTGCATTATGCTTACATAAGAACATATTTATTATCAAAAATAAGATTATTATGAAGAATTGTGTTTAATGAGTTACTGATGAACTTCAGTCATTTCCTAATTGTTAGGACTTCAGTAACTAAGAGATTTTATCATATGGCTTGTTTATTATAAAAGAAAATATGCTTTAAGTAATTTTAAACTTCTTGGTCAATTATCTTGAGTCAGTAAATATCACTTGGAAGGGGATTACTGCTGCTGTGGTAAGTAATACTAAGGTTAAGTAAGTAGCCCTAGCCTACACTTTTAGAAATGTATACCTCATTTAAAACATCTGGCACAATTTTGAATTCTGGTTTTCAAGCAAAGAGACAAAAGTTTATCTTCAGGGTTGGTAAAGTGGATCAGTGGGGCACTTGGCAACCTGAGTTTGATTCCCAGAATCCACACAAAGGTCAGAGGAGAGAAACAATTCCTCAAAGTTGTTATCTGACCTCTATATACTGTGGATCCTTTGCATCCTCCATCTCTCTCCTCTCTCTCTCTCTCTCTCTCTCTCTCTCTCTCTCTCTCTCTCTCTCACACACACACACACACACACAATTCTTTTAAAAGTTCAATCTTTAAATTGAAGTATCATTTCAACTTTCAATACTAAGTACATACAATTACAAAGTTGGCAAAGACACCATATGCTCTGAGGGCTAAAGTAATTCCATGGCTTCGCAACTAAAGCCCCATTCCCCAAGGCAGTTTGCAGACTTGCTTGAGTCAAAGAAGGCACCTTTACAGCACAGCATTATTTTGGGCACCTCTTTTCTCTCTTTTTGCTGCATCAATGGTCAGAGAACAAAAATACATGAAGACATATGTGTAAATATCTGACTTTTCCTGCTTTAAGGAGAGATGACCTGTACAGGAGTTTAACTTGGGTTGCCAAGAAGACCAGCAGGAACTCTCAGAGGCCCTTCACAGGGGAAACCAGTTTTAGTCCTTTCAACTCATTGTGTGACTTTGGACAGGTCACCACTTGCCTGACTCAGCCCCTATACTAGTACACTACATTTAGTACATGTTCATTTGGCATGGGATTTGGACTTCGTGGAATCTTATGTAAAAATTTCAATGCCTTCAATTGTTTTGGTTTGTTCTATTTAGTTCTCTTGTACTAAACTTTAGAAAGTAAGAGCAAGTTTCCTTTAGTTACATTTGAATGTTTATTCAAAGGAAGCAGAGTTAATTCAATGCCAGGCTTCAGTGCCTGAGGTCTGGCACTCTATATGTAGTGCTCTTTGAAAATCTGACTCTAGATTCCAAAGCCCTTACACTTTTTTCTTAATTAAAAAATGGAGTGGTATAAAAGGCTTTTGGTTTGGAAAACTTAAGACATTATGACCTGTGGAAAGCTATTATGCAGTTAACATAAATATCTAATAAAAAGTTTAAGGGGAGAAAATGCTAAAGAATACTTTTTCTATTACCCTAACTTATATAAGTATTTGAATATCAAAATTTGAAACAAATCTTGAATAATCAAGTTGGGCAAGATTTATATACTTTGCTTAGCCAGTCTGGCAAGGGCTTTAGGTGTAATGTTTGTCTGAGGCAGACAAGCATTAAAATCTAAATTTATACACAAGAAAGCCTCAATTCTTCAATCTCCCTATTTCTACAACTTAATCCTATCACAGGACTGTAGGCATGTATCAACAAAACCCCACCAAATTTATAACAGTGGCCAGGAAGATGTATCTGAAGGGTAATGTCTGAAGGCAGTATGTTCTATAGACAATGGTAGTTTAAAGTTTTTTTTTTTTTTTTTTTTAAGCACTTAAGGTATTTTAAGCATCCTGAAGGCAAAGTCAAGCCTATTTCTTCATTTCTTAATCCAGTTTCAGCAACAAATGTAGTTGAGTGGCATTTTGATTTGACATTTCAATCTAGGCAAGTTTCAGTTATGAGATATAGGTGGTACCCTTTTCCACCCCCATGAACATTTCGGAAATACCATGTAACCATTAAAATGAAGAGGTCACACACACACACACACACACACACACACACACACACACACACACACGAGAGAGAGAGAGAGAGAGAGAAAGAGAGAGAGAGAGAGAGAGAGAGAGAGAGAGAGAAGAGCCAGAATGACATTAGGATGGGTACTATTATTTGAGACAAATCACACTCATGAACACAAACACACACACACACATACACACACACACACACACACACACAAACACACACACAAACAATTCCTTCACAAATGCACAGACTAAAAAGCTACAGGGAAATACTAAAATCCTAATATTATTTGTGGTAGGTTTGGCAAGATTAAGAATGATGTTTTCTTTTTTTTTCCACATTGTTTTCATAGTGAAATCTTTTGTAGCTCTGGCTATCCTGAAACTCACTATGCAAAGCTGGCTGGTCACAAAAGCTCTCAGAGATCTATCTGATTGCTTATGCCTCCTGAGTGCTGAGATTAAATATTTGAAATACCATGCCCCAAGCCCACTCCTGGCTTGAAGTCATTTATTTTGACTTACATTTAATAAGCAAGTGAAAGAATGCTTTACAGAGGACTAGATTAAAAGGGGCCTTAAAAATACTTTTAGGGGATGGACAGAGATGATTGAGGTTTTAAGAGGAATTAGCTGCTCTTCCAGAGGACCTAGGTCTGTGTCCTAGAATTCATTTGGCAGTTCACAAAGGTTTCTAACTCTAATTCCAGAGAATCGTATGGCCTCTTCTGGTTTCCATGGGCACCAAGTAGTGAACAAACATATATACAGGCAAAACAGTCATACACATGTAATAAAAAAAAAAACCCAAACCACTTTTAACATCTTTCAAACATCTCTGAGACAAATACCCTTACTATGAGTTATAAACTTTTCTACTATTAACTAAAGAAGGCGTCTTTAGTTACCACTAAGTTATAATTTCTAATTTTCATCTCTCAAAGGGCCTCAGGAGCATTTAGTTTACTCATTTATAAAGTCAATGAAGCCTACATGAATAGGCCATTTTCATTAGTCAATTTTCTTCTTTAAACAAATGAGAGCAAATCTTATGTGAGGTAAAGCTAAGAACCAACTCCAAACCATTTTAAATGGCTAACTCAATGTCACTTAGCTGTGAGGGTACCATAAAATGAAAGGAGCCAGGCTTCTTTTGAGTGAACTGCCCCTACTGCTCTCCTGGAGACCTGTTCCTCCTCCTCACTTTCTCTTATTACTAACTATCTTAGAATTTTTGCTCATGTGGGTCCAAACCCTGATGAGTACAGTAAGGGGAGCTGGTCTGCTGTTCAGATGCGGAGCTCCCCAGGCTCTCAGGTGCAGCCTGTTTCCTGACGCACTCATAAGTAAAGCACCTTCTCTTACTATAGCAAGCCCTGAGATGTCAGATGAAATTGCATCCCTGTGCCTAGATAAGCTAGGGAAGGATAAGGGATGATGTTTATTTATGTATTTCAGGATTTAAATGTGAACCAAACCATTTCCTAAGTTTTTGTATATCTTTATCTTCCCAGAGAGAAACAAATCCCATGACACGTCTCCAGTTTTGACAGGAATCTAAATTCACACGGATAAGTAATTTATTGAGAGAGGCTTAAAGAATTTTCTCACCCAGATTAAATTTCTTCTACTCTTTGAGATTCTTCTGAATCTCGAAAAGGCTTTCTGAGAGGACTGTAGTGTAAGACTTCAGAAAAAAAGTATCAACAACATATTCACATTAAGAAATTAAGTCTAATTGTTCCACGTAGAGTGTAAAATACATCTACAGAATAATCCAGAAACCAATGTCATATATAGAAATTAGTCATGTACTTACTGTTTGAGATTTCTTCTTTTTCTTTTTCATTGACCTGAAAAAGCCTTGCTTCTCCTTTTCTTTGAGTTGATCAGAATGACTAATATTTTCAGGACTTTTCCTAAATGAGAAGACATTTTTTTTTTATCATATGGACCTTTGAATCTCTTGCCACTGTGTGACAAACACAATGAAGACTGAAAATGTGTGATACCAGATTCAATCAGCCATGAAAAATTGAGCCCATAGGTAGAGGTCCTCTAAAAGGCACAGGAGGAACTCAAATCTAATCAGCATGGGGAATGGCTGTTCATTGGCACAGGCTTAATCACACTAACCATTTGAGCACTATTACAAATGCTCTGTAGCTGAATTTTGGGACCATTTCCCTACTCCTGGAAGTCTCTGAATTAGAGATTTTGTAAAATGCATAGCTTAGAGGATGCCTCCTCAGTAACTCTCCATGGAAAGAACAGAAACATTTTCAATACCTTCAGTTTTCTATTTACCTTTTAAAAACAAGCTTAATAAGCTTATTATGAGTACCTTGCCAAGTTACTAAACATAAAAAAAAATCAATGCTGCTATAGAAACATGATAAGCAGAAGTAAAATTTGTACCAAACTGGAAGATGCCTATTTATTTATTAAACCTTTAATTTATACACCTAAATAAAATAAAAGTACTCAAGGAAAACTTGTAGACACAATGAATGTTCTAACACAGTATGTTGGGGAGGGAGAAGAACACTTCTACCTGAAAATACTGATGTTAAAATTGATTCCACAGATAACACTAGGTATTTTAATAAAAACAAAAGATATTCAAAATAGGAAACCAGGCAGGTGTACTGACACATGACTGTTACCCCAGCACTTAGGAGACTGATAGAGAAAGCTCAAGTTGAAGGCGAGCCAGGCTATCTGCCAAGATTGACCCTGAAACAAAAACACACTTAAAAAAAAAAAAAAAAGAAATCCTAAAAGAGGAGGAAAAAAGAAGAAAAGAAAAGGAGGAGTGGTGGTGGGGTGTGTGCAGAGAACATTCTGACTTTTGGCTTATGCTCTTTAAAAAGCAACTGAACTGGTATTATTCTTGAAAAAAAAACCACATATTTACATATTTACATTTTCCCTAAAAGTAACAGTGGTAGAGTTGTTAAAAGTGAGTCAATTTATATTCACCTAACAGTGATGAAGTGATTATATTATCTAAGAAAATATGAGCAAAGCAGCACCCAGCTTATTTTATTAAAATATGTAAGCCAGGAAACTTCTAAATAAACCATTACTGTTTGCATGGCAGAAAACACAATGAAGCTATTAAAAATAAATCACATCTTCAAAGAATATTCACTGACATGAAAGAATATTTAAACTATGATAGTAAGTAAAAAAAAATGATTTTAAGTTTTCTACATCAGGTAAGTCTAAGTAATGACAAGAAGGTATATAGGTTATACACAAGCACTTTCAATATTATTTATTTAATTTTTAATGATGTATTTATTTTATATGTTTGAGTGTACATTCTGATTGAATCTATGTGTACTGCCTGTGTGCCTAGAGCCCACGCAGGTCAGAAGAGGGTTTGAGATTCCTTGGAACTGGGATCATGGATAGTTGTGAGCCACCATTTGTACTGGGAACCAAACTTGGACCCTTTTCAGGAACAATAAGTGCTCTTAACTCCTGAGCCATTCCTCCAGCCCCTAAAAGCACTTTTTAAAATGCAGGGAGAAATTATAATAAAAATCTTGGCTAGAGATTTGGCTCAGTGGAAGAGCACTTGTGCAATATTCACAAGACCCTGGATTTCCATTGCAAGCACTGGGGAACAAATATAGGCCCAGCTTTATGGCATATGCTTATATTCCTAACTATGACTAATGTGGGAGGATCACTGTAGCACATGTGTTTGAGAACAGTAGGTAACAAAGAGATATTCCCCCTTCTCAAAACCCCCCAAACCTTTAAAAGCTCCACCTATGTAATAAAATTATTGGCATTCTTTTTAATTTTTGAGAACAAATACATATAAGTCATCAACAAAGTGCTATACAGCACAGGGTTGGGAATATAGCTCAATTGTTGCTGATGTAGCTAAATTGGTGGAATGTGTACCTAGCATACACAAAGCCCTGCATTTGACCCCAGAACCACAAAACCCACACATGATGGCACGCACCTATAATTCTGGCACCCAGGAGCACCCCAGATGTTGTTGAAATCCACTAGAACTTGTGATTGTAGGCATCAATAAGTTCAAAGTTCTGAAGCAGAAATCCTGTGATTCAATTCAGCCATACTGTAACTAATTTGGGAACTGAGAACAGTACACCTCTAACTTTGAAAGCAAGAAGGTTTAAATATGGTTGCATGGGTGAGAATGGGATGGTGGAAAGTTACAGGTTCTCTAGAAGCAGTTGGTGTATGGCTGGGGAAAATACCTTCTTCATGAATGAAATCTCAGGGGCCAAAAAGGCATTAGAACAGAATTTTAGCGCTAGCAGTAATGGAAAGAAGGCTGGAGATGCCACTCCTAGGAGGAAGTAGAATTCTTCCAGGAAAGACAAATGTCTAGCCAGGATGAAGTAGATAATATGCAAGTGAGAGGCTGGAGAAGTTGAGAGTAAGAAGAGGAAGGGGGCAGGAAACAGATCAGAATTTGCACTTTGACATTTCTTGGTTCTGGCAAACAGAAGATGGATCAAAGAACCTTCCCAGGGCCTTTAAGGCACTGGATAAAGTACATTTTAAATTGAGCAGGAGGAATGAGGAAAAACATTTTCAAGCTGAAGCAGAGCAGGTGCTAGTACTGAGATCTAGGCAGGGAAGGATTCTAGGGGACAAAATCAAAAAGAAATAAATTACCCTTGAACAAGATGAAAACAAAAGACTGGAGCATGAGTATGCTTGCAGCACAACAAGCAGAAGAAATTAAGTCTGAGCAAAGAAGCAGAGACACAAAGAACAAAGCAGAACTACACAGACACGTACACAGAAAACCCAAAGCGAATATCCTGACAGAGGAAGAGAAAGAAAGGGAGAGAGAGCAGTTATGGGGCAAGTACTTGGAAAGCTGGGTGGTGTGCCAAGAAGGAGGAGCCTAAACAAGCAGCATTGAGCCAACCAGGTAAGTGTGGCCACTATTTCCCCATCTGGATGTGTGGCCCCTCTAATTTCACCCAGTACAGTGGGCCACTTTGGGGGGGGGGTCACATGAATTTCAGAGAGGGAAGCTTTGAGAAGAGTTGTGCATCCAGTGACCTAGCTCAACCCAGTGGGTAGTAGCTCTGATCAAAACAGTTATGGCTATGGGAATGAGGGAGAGGACACACAACAAAGGATGAACAGGCAAGGTCTTAAACAAAACTGTGACTCCTATGTCATCTAGCCTAAGAAATATTCCCATTAAGGGAGTCAAGACGAATGAGGGATGTTCAAATATTCATTGTAATCAAGGAAGAAAGGAATTAAAACAAAACCTGACTTAAAGTTAACCAACACTTATTTAGTATTGTATTAGATATTAGAGATAGAGCGAAATCAATCAAGGAGCTGACTTCTCACTCACACTGCTCCCAGACCCCTGGTGGAGAGAAAGTAGGGCTTTTGGACATTAGTATGATCCCTCTGGGAGCAGCATAGAGAAAGAATGGAAGACATGGGGAGCATTACTCTGCCACTTCCCTTGCCTTATCCCCTCCCCTGGCAGTCAACTCTTCTGTGACACGAGAAAGTCAGTGAATGATTCTATGAGAAAAACTGCACGACATACTGACAAGCTACAATGGACACAATATATTCATAACCCTGTTTTAAAAAGCCCCATCATTATTCAAGTGAGTTTCACAGTTCTTTACTTCACTAGTTAGATGTTGAATGAACTCAGTGTATCAACCTTTAACCCGATTTTGGTGGCAGTTTTTCTAGCCTGCTCACATACTTTGTCTTTATTTACTTATTTTTATTTTGCACTTATTTATAGCAAAGTCGATGCCCTTCATTTCATGAGGATGCACTCTAAAGAATACCCATGATGCACTGAATTTTCACAGGTCCATGGAATGATAAACACACCTGCTTTTGCCCCATAGCTATTGCTTGTGATCTTTCTCTCCTCTGCCCACTGTGTTTTTAGCTGGAACCACATCTCATTCCAATGACTTCAGTACTAACTGCTAAAACGGGGGAAGAGGAGGTATAAATAGCTTCCAAGTGAGGATTGAAGTGTCATCCTATTAGTAAAGATGATACATCTGGCTGTATTGCCTATTTTCCTTGTTCTGAGATATTTTGGCTTATCTCCCATTTCTCATGTGGGTTTGAGACAACTGAGATGGCCAGAGTAAAAGCTCTGGGAGTTAAACTACAGTATCTATCTATTGTTTTTAAGTATGACATAGTACCTTGATCTTTCCGTTGCAGAAAATATGTACACTGTACACATATTCTCTTCAAAGAAGAAATTTAAAGTGGAGTACCACTTTAACAGATTGGCCTGAGGATATGTGATGGTTTAAGAACAGGATTTTACCATGTTCATCTAATAAGGCTTTCTTGTTTATGTTAACAAATGCACAGTTTTCTCAGATTTAAAGAATATGGCAAACCAAAGAGACCTTGGTCAAGAAAGAAAATCAAGATGAGTTAAGCTTAATCAAAGATCAGATCATGTTAGATATGATGCATGAAGGAGGCATGCCACAGAAACATTATCAGAAGGAGTAGAGAGCCAATTCACAGCTAGGAGGAATTCTGGAACCATCTTGGACCACATAATAGCAATATTAGAGTAAGAGAAACTTGATGACATCTTAGCTAAAGTTTAACATCCCAACTGTACTTCTGATTATTTTCAAAATAATCATTTACATATACATTATATATACACATGTATATGAATACACACATACACATCTAAAGTTCTATTCAGACAGATTAGAACACATGGTTATCATACACTAGACCCTGCATTCAAGTCCCCAAATCCAAACTAAATCAAACCCCTAAAACATACACCCACACATACCACACCCCCCAAAAAACCCCAAAACACCACACTGCTAACAATGCCCTTTGGATTTCTTTTGAAGTGGGAAGGTATTGAGACAGATTCTCTCACTACATAGCTCAGGCTAGCTTTAAACTGGCAATCCTCCTGTCTCAGTTTCCCAAGTGCTGGAATTATAGGCCAGCACTACCATGCCAGGCCAGTACAGACTTCAGTTTTTATCTGACTTAACCTAATTTTTAAAGGACTATGCTAGTCTATAAGTGATACTGCTTAAGATGGTTACCACTTCATTATGTAACAACCAAGAAAAGACAGTTCCCTCTGTGTATCTGTATCTGATACTAGATATTCTTCTCAGGGTTTGTCCCAGATATACCTATAAATGGCCAACACTGAAAATTAACAAAAGCTATACCCATTCACTTATATTTTCTATACACTAGAAAGAAAAACACAGTCACAAAGAGGGATGGAAGTTTATGAGCAAAGTTAGAAGCCCAACGGTCAACAAACCATGGAAAGATTAAATGGCACTAAGTATAATAACCGTAGCTACTAACATAATGAGTCCTTATGGTGTCAGACAATGTTTTAGGTGCCTTTTTCATATATTTAAATTGGTACATCACTTAAATACCATAACAATTCTAGGAAGAAAGGCTAGTATCCTGTGTACCTGATTCATGTTACAGGTGTTCAGCACTAGGTATGCTCTCTAATTTTCAAGCTTCAGTGTGTATGGAATGGAAATAGCCCATATCTCAAAAAGGGAAACTATGAGAAGTGAGACAATGCACAGAGAGCTACAAAGTGACAGTACTAAGTTCATTGTCAATAAAAGAATGTATGATGAAATACTTATCTGATAATAAGTTTTTCTTTTACATGCTATTTAATAGAAATTTTGAACTTGAAAAGAAACTATAAAATCCCTTAACCTATCATATTTCCCTTATTCTTAAGAAAGATAGGCCTAGTAGGAAAAAAAGAACACTAAAACGTTTATCCTGAATGCCTTTGAATTCCCAGATCTACAATTAGTAAAAGAAGAGTAAGAACAAATAAAAACACTCACCATGGATCGAATCCTGGCTGTCTTTTTGAATGATTGGTACCAGAACTGCTGTCAGATGGCAGAGAAGAAACTCGGGTAGAAACATTATTTTCATGGAAGGAATTGTCTGGTCGTGGAGATGGCACTAAATGAAGAAGAAGGAAAACAAAATGTTACTGAGGTACCTTTCTGCTTGAAGGAGTTCTAATGCTATCCCCCTGTATTTTCTTTCACACAGAGTCATAGTCCTCAACTGCCTTACTCCAACTTCTGTTTCCTGAGGGTGGAGGTGGTCCAGACAAGTTTCACTCCTCAGCTCCTTACATGGTAACCTGCAGGGGTCAGTTACAAAGATTTCCAAACAGAAACCTGGGCTGTCAGCTGATGCACTGCAGAGCACTTGCTGACATTGTAAAATGGGACATCATTTAAATTATAATAATTATAGCCACTCTCATCCCCACACCATGGTTTTTGACATTCTTTGAAGTTGCATCCTTTTTTTTTTTTCAAGACAGGGTTTCTTTGTAGTGTTAGAGCCTGTCCTAGAACTTGATTTGTAGACCAGGCTGGTCTCAAACTCACAGAGATCCGTCTGCCTCTGCCTCCCAAGTGATGGGATTAAAGGTATGCACCACCACTGCCAGGCTGAGTCTTCCTCATTACAGATAAAACCATGCAAAATCTATTCTTAGCCCAAAAAATCATCCTTAACAGTATGTGTACCAGGATACACAAATTACAGTCTAACCCCTGACAATGCAATGGTGTGCCACTTGAATGCTTGGATTATAAGGAAATTTGCCATTTGAACAAAAATACTAATTTTCTAAACATTCTCATGTAAAAAGGAACAAAATATAAACTATCATATATTGAGTGATTTTTGCTTTGGGAAAAGGGGTAACCACATTTTGTCAATTTCTAAAGTTGGCTGTTCTATAAATTTCCTCACAAAAGTAATATGTTGCATGTTGTATATCAAGATCAGTGACAGCAAGCAAGGAAGTGCTATATGTAATTACCGTGCTCAAAAGGCTGGGGCAGGAGGACTGACATGAGAGTTCAAGGCCAGACTAGGTCAGAGTGAGTGGGTTCTAGCTCACCCTGACTGGGTTACAGTATGGGATGCTGTCCCAAAATGACAATATATTTGTGTATTTATACAGTGAATTGCATACATGTATTATAGGGTTGGCTTTTTTTTTAGCTAAATAGTTAATAGTATGATTCTTTATCACTTTTTCAGATGTTATTACTGTTATTTTACCTACCTCCTCATTTATTTATTTCAGCTCTCCCTCCTTAAAGCGGCTCCCTCCCATCCCTGATCAGATCACTTGTATCTGCTATTACCTTCTCTACTGCTCCCTAACCCCCTCTACCTTGACAATGGTTCCTTTTTAATTCCATGATTGCTGAACAGAGCACAGGGATCTGTGAACTGGAACTGCCCTGAGGAGTAGCTCTCATGCTACTAGAAGGTGCTATGCAAGCTTGCCAAGGAGGGAGACACTAACAGTTCTACTGTGGTGTCTTGAATAAGAAGGGCGCATAGATTTGAAGCTTGGTCACCAGGGAGTAGCACTATTAGGAGGTATGGCTTTGGAGTAGGTATACCTTTGTTGGAGGAATTGTGTCATTGGGAGATGGACTTTGAGGTTTTCAGATGCTCAAGCCAGGCCCATTTCTTTATTCCTGCCGCCTACAGATCTGAATGTAGAACTTTTAACTACCTCTCCAGTACCATGTCTGCCTGTGTGCCACCATGCTTCCAGCCATGATGATGATGAACTAACCTCAGAACTATAAACAAGTTCCAATTAAATGTTTTCTTTATGAGAGTTGCTGTGGTCATGGTGTTTCTTCATAGCAATGGGGACCCTAAGACAGCTACCCAGTAACAATGCCTATGAACCACATCAATCACCAGCATGGCACAATAGCCCCAAGGATGTATATCTTGCTAGTAACCAACAGCTCTCTAATTACACTGAAGACTGGCTCAACAAGAGGAAAACCATGCCTGGTACTAGAAATGTAGCTAACTACTCAGTGCTAGTGAAGTCATGGTTATTGCAGGAGAATCTACAACTACTAATTTACTAAATCATCACAACCCCTAACAACAATCTATAAACATTTGTCCTTATACCTACAGGCAAGTATAGTTTTTACCCCTCATCAAGGAAACTACAGAAAACCACAACCAATCAAAATACGGAGTTGTAGAGCCTAGTCTTAATTGATGCAGCTATAATACATTCCTGAACCCGATGTTTTGGAAATATTGTGGAAGAAAAGTAAAAAGATTTTAAGAGGCATAGAATTAGAAAATTTGCTGTGAGATTGTGTCTACCAGGAACATAAGAGGCTACACTCATAAATCTCACCAACATGCCCAAATGTGAGTTGAACAATGACAACATCAAAGAACATGCCAAAGTGGACAAGGAAAAGCCCATGAGGCCTCAACCCTACACAAAGAACTATAGGCAACTGAGGAAAGCTAGGAGCAAGAGAGGTGCCAAAAGGTCAGCCCTGAAAACATACAAACAAGTAACATTATATGAACTGAGCATCTTTTATTTAGGAATGAATATATACGTGAAAAGAGAGACCATGAATTTGAATGACAACAAGGTAGAGCATATGGGAGAGTTTGGAGGGAGGAAAGGGAAGAGAAGAATGTTGTAATTATAATCTCTAAAATAAAATTAAAACAACAAAAAGTGACACCATTTCATTTGCCTCTGAATAAGAAAGAATGAACCTATTTTAGAAACATCTGCTTAGATATATCTAGAAACATCTGTTATCTCTTTAAACTGCCATTTTTTTTTCTCTAGGACTTCCCAGTATCATTGAAAGAACAGATGTTTCCAGGTGTTTCATTTAGTTGAAACTTTCCCTTACATTTCTGAACTTTTAAAAATTAAAATGTTCTACTTGTCAAATCTCCAAGTAGTTTATGTGTGGTAGAATTATTTTAAGATGTGTTACTTTTGTTTATTCTGTTGAACATTTGTGTAATGAAGTAAAAATGTGTTACTTTTGTTTATGCTGCATTTGTTTAACTATATGAAGCTTTGATTCTTTGCCTGTCTAAAACACCTGGTGGTTTTAGTAAACAGCTGAACAACCAATAGTGAGGCCGGAGCAAGGATAGGTGGGGCTAGCAGGCAGACAGTATAAATAGAAGGAGAAACACGAATGAGAAGATCAAGGAGAGAATAAGGAGAGAAGAACATCAGGGGTCAGCCACCCAACAACCCAGCAACCCAGCCACTCCACCACCCAGCCAGCCATGGAGTAAGAAGGAAAGTAAGATAAAAGATAAAAGCCCAGAAGGAAAAGGTGGATAGGTCAATTTAATTTATGAAAAGCTGGCAAGCAATAAGCCAAGCTAAGTCCAGGTACTCATAAGATTCTGTGTGATTTATTTGGGAGCTGGCTGCTGAGTCCCTCAAAAAGCCAAAAGATAAAAAGCAACCCACTACAATTATTAGATAAAGGAGGTGCTTTTCCTATATTAATCAATCCAATCTATTTGTAACCAAAATAGTATTTCCAAAAGTCAAAGACTAATTTATGGATTTTAAACTCTACTTCAATTTTATTTTAAAGTATTTCCTCTAACTGGGCATAATAGCACACACCTATAATTCCAGCCCTTGAATACAGAGACAGAAGGATAGAAGTCAGCTGGAAGCCAACCTGGTCTAAAATGTTAGACCCTCCTCTCCAAAGACAGATATTTTCTACAGTTGTCTGTAGAAACAACAACTAGGACATTTTAGAAGAAAAACTTATACTGAAGATGTCCTTATTCATGTACAAGACACAAATTTGAATTAACTTTAATCTGAATTAAATGTCATCATGGAATGGGGGAAAGACATTAAGAAGCATATTTGATGCTGAGTGCTTTTCCAAAGGTAGAGTTGGGAGGGACTATGGTAGCCTAATTATTCAATATACATATATTCCCGAATATAATTTCTATGTATTCTTTTGGCTTAGATCCCTAATTTTAACAAGCAAACAATTGTCTGTGTCCCCTCTGACCTTAATTTCTGAACTTCTTCGAGCTGTCTTTCTAAAACAATAGAAGGAGCAGGAAGTCAGGCAACGTAGACTTAAAAGTCAAGGCTATGGTTGAGTCTTACAGACTTTGTACACTGAGCCTCCTGCCCACTTCTCCACAAAGACACTGGGACTCTCAAATATTTGGTACTTTATCATCACACAGTTACAACATAAAGGGATCACCTTTCTCTATTGACTCTTTCCTAAATTCACAAACCCTGAAAAACATCTGTCTTATCATCTGTTCAACAACAAAGTATATTTTTAAAACTATGTAAATATTCTTGAATTTTTCTTTAATAAAGTTAATGAATATTTATGAAGCTGTGTGAGGCAGTCTCTGCCTCCCTCTTTCCCTCCCACTGGGATCAAACCCAGAGTTTCATGCATGCTAGAAAAGCACTCTATCACTCATCTCCATCCTGAGAATTTGGAATATCCAGGAGGTTCGGAACCTTGCAGAAGAACACAGAGAACCAGTGCAATGTGGTTGCATTGTATCACAGACATACATGAGGGACCCTGAATGGAACAGAGAAGAAATACTACTTCTGGAGTAGGGCAGGGAAGACTGTCACAGTAGAGAGGATCTTAAAGAAAACAGACAAAAACAACAACTGGTGCCAGTAAGAGAGTAGTGTATTTCAGGCCATGAGATCAGTGGCAAAGAACTATTAGATGGTGGCAATGCAGAGAAGAATGCTGTTGGTCTGACAGTGAAAACACAGTGGTGGACAAGTAGATGTACTCAGCAGAATACAGAGGTGGAGTCTAGTAAATATCTTACCTCTATAAAAGCTACCAACTCTCCTTGGGACAGGATCATTGTACAGATGCCGATTTTCTTTGGGAGCCGTGCCATCGTCAGAGTGTGGGTCATGGTACACTCCACCCTGAGGCAGGAAACAAGGTTATAAAAGTTAAAGCATGGATTGATGATAGAAGCTTAGAACAAAGCCTAACCAGTGTCTAATAAGTTTTGATCATTTTAAAGGAAAACTCAGGCTTATGTCACGAAGAAAACTACTTCCTAAGTCAGTTCAATTTATTTAGGGGAAATTGGGTACAGATAAACTTCAAAAGCTAGCTAGGCTGGAGTGCTGCACAGTGAATGGTCCTTACAGACCAACATAAGATGTAGCAACTCTGGTCCTGCCTCAATGTGATGTGCCAGACTTGTTCACTCCCCATGGGGGACCTCACTGTCTCTGAGGAGTGGATGGGGAGTGGGATGGGGTAAAGTGGGGGAATTGGGAGGAGGGGGACCTGGGATTGGTATGTAAAATAAAAAAGAATGTTTTAACAAAGAAAAATAGATGTAGCAACTCTAGAGCTCAAACCTCAGACTTCTGACGGGTGTGGAATGAAGAGGTGCCTTCTCTGGAAGACTCTTTAACAGAAGGTCTTGCCACAGTCATGTCTGGAGGAAGCTGTTCTCCAGGCTGCAAGTTAAATACAAAAGGATTTATAGAAACTTCCTACCCTTAGGGACAAAAACTCATCATGGTCTTCATTTAATATAGTTAAGTTCTTAACCACCTACAATTAAAATCATAGAATGGTTTCAACATAACTCATTCAATAAAACATAAAGTATCTGATGGGTGTAAAATAAGGCCAACAAATTTTAACAGATAGAAAGTGAGATTAAGGCAAGTAGGGAATACATTAGTCTAAAAATAGTTTAATTAATTCTTTAAAACAACAAAAGAAAGCACATTTTTATCTAGACAGTTACAGCTCTAAGCAGTATTATGCTTAGAGATTCTATCAGCCAGTCTAAAAGTGTGTTTACAGATTTTAGGCTGTACTCTCTGAAAGGGAAGGTGCAGAGGCAAAAAGTATTTTCTAGGAGACTAACACAGTAGATGCAGGTGAAAGTAAATGTTTTGTGAATGCAAAAAAGAAAAAGAATAACCCCTCTTAATGTTTTTTGCCTTAAGAGTTCCCAACTCCTATAGTCTATGGTGCTTCTTGCTCCTTTATCTTCTCCAGGACAGCAGCTCAGCTGATCAATGCATTTCTTAGGACTGACTATGATGGTGCCTATCTCGAGAGATGCTCCCACTACCTAGCTCCCTCTCAAGTAGGTGAGTCACAACCCCAACACCGCAGAGGGTCCTTAGCAGTACCCAAGGTGAAAGAAAATACATCACATTTTGTACCTTGGGTGGGAGCATTAAGGGATAAAATTAGAAGAAGTTAGATGCATCCAGCATCTATATATTGTGCACAAAAAGTATCACAAGCCTAGATGATATACACAAAAATGTTTTAATTTAAAAACTGAAGTAAGATTTGGTATTTCTCCCCCTTCCTTCCTACCACCATATTTAGAGTATTCTGGAAAGAAATTCATTTAGTATAGCCTTTCTTCTTTCTAAGTTGCCACCTGCACTGTTGACAAAGGCCCAGAGAAAGATTTTTTTTTAAGGAAATGAGTTATTTACATTTAAACTAAACTCTGTGAGGGTCCGCGTGGTTTTGAAAGTGGCTAAAATACTTTACATGAGAATGAGTGCCATGATTTACTCACTACCCTTGTTACCTTGCAGGCCTCCCAGCCCACTTCTAGTCTTTAATTGTGGCCTTTCTTAAGGCTTGGCACTGCTCTTCCTGAACTGGACTTAAGTAACAGCTGGATCTGTGCTAAGCCCCAGCAATTGTTTATAATTAGTTTATGACCACTATGTTCACAGAAATTCTTTTTTTCTGAATTCTCAGAAAGCCAGTAATTTGTCCATTTTCCAAGGGAGACTGCTTTTTGTTTTCCTTTTCTGCTTGACACTTGTCTTGATGCCAACACAGCCTGCTTGGTTTTGACTTCCAACTCTCTTCTATGGGCAGTGGCCAGGTCCTAGAGATCTTTCTAGACACTCCAGGTTCTCTTATCTCTACAGGGGGTTCTCAGGGCCACTTTGTCCATTCCCATAACTCCACTTAAAGCCCCTGCAAATACTCAACTCCTGCCTCACCCTTAACTGGGCACCTGGCCATCCTGCCAACATTTTATACTTGGGGACCTGGAGACTGTCTCAGAATCCCAGCTCTACTTTGCACTACTAGTTGGGGAAAGTTGGGCAGGTCAGCCACCTCCTGTGAGCCTCATTTGAAAGGAAAAATGTTGTTTTACAGAGCTTATAAATCCCTTTCCAACTCTGAAAAAGTGCTCCTAGGACAGACACCATGAAGGCTCCCTTCACTACTACAGTGGGCAAGTCCTGTTATGTCTACTTTTCTATAGTCCTTGAGATCCACTCTGCTTCCATACTGGCACTTAATCCTGAATACCCTCTTCCTCATTCGAAAATTGTTCAGCTCGTACACTTTCATTTTAATAATGTGAAGCCAGTTGGGATTCATGTAGCACCAAGTCTTCTTGGAATATCTTCCCTCCTTTCAACCTCTTTTCTGCTACTATCAACTTTCCTCCCTAAGTGAAATCTCAACCTTCCCAGAAGTATCTGCTTAGATTCTACCTCCTCTGCGATCCTCCAACAAGACTCAGGCTGGATGGACAGAATCGCTTCCATCTTTCTTTTGAGACACTAGTACACTTCTACATGGCTACTGGAATGAGGTTTTACAATATTAGAAGAGATCACTTGTTGCCAAATATCCCCTGCCATTTAACATACTTCAGAACGACAGAGACACTTTAATTTCATCTTTCCAATCAGGGCTTCCTGTGGGGCTTAGCTCAGCTTCACTCTTCAGCCATTCATGTTTCTGCACTGAAGCCATTTCTGATTGTTCCTATTCACAGTGATTCCTCCCTGTTTTCTATGCCTATTCGTAGCCAGTGTTCTATTAATGTAGGCTTCAGTGATTTTATAATTTAGCTTGCCATGCAAACCCAATGACCTGAGTTAGATCCTTAGAATTCACATGGTCAGAGAGAACCAACTCCACATGCACATCATATGTGCATTCCTTGCCCCATGTTATACATATACACAACGATGAAAAAATACATAATTAGAAAAATAATCCAAAGGGGACAGAGAGATGGATGGCTCAGCAATTATGAGCATGAACTGCCCTTTAAGAGGACCTAAGTTTGATTCCTAGGACCCATGATGGGCAGCTCATAAGTTCCTGTTACTCCAGCTCCCAATGGACTCTGCAGATACCTGTACTTATGTGTGCATATCTAGACATAGATATACACACAAACACGTAATTTAAAAATGTTTAAAAATCCAAAAGGCTGGGGAATTTTCATTGACCATGGCCAGGAGTTAAATTTATCTAGTTTAAGCTAAATAAAATTCAGTCAAGATACTTGGTATTAGCAAAAAAAGTTTAAACAAACATGGTTTAGAAAGAGTAAAGAAAAACACCCCAAAATTTTGAAACAACTAAAACCTCATTCATATTTCTAATTTCTATAAAAAATAGCAAAATTTCAGAAAGGAATATTTAAAAATGGATTAGTAAAACCAAACTTGAGATGTCTTGAGCACTCAACAACTGATTTAAACATTTAAATAATAAATATTATTACTTTTGAGACAGGGTTTCACTGTGTAGTGTATGTAGTCTGGCTTGGAACACACTATGTAGATCAGGCTAGCCTCAAACTCACAAAGATCTACCTGCCTATGCCTCCCAAGTTCTTAAGTATTGGGACTGTGCCTTTGTATCTGCTGCTACACACAGCTAAATTATTACTATTTTTAACATAAATTATCCAAAGATTGCTTTCATTCACAGTCCCAATGAAAGCAAGGCTGATTGCAGTAGTAAAACTGCATAGCAACCTTATACATGTTCCCTATAACACTTTCCAAAGATAAGCCACCAGACAAATCAAAGTAATACCTGGGGTGATAAGAGCTGCAGGCTGTTTGCTCTGGCCGCCATCCCTTGCCCTATGCTCAAGCTTCCATCAAGGCCTTTAGCTCTCACTTTGTCACGGGTCACATACATGGAATGTCTGTGAGGGCGTTGCTGAGAGGAGAAGGGGCTGGTGTAGCCTAGACCATAAGAAAACGATTCATGAGGTGCAGACAGCGAATGTGAATGGCTGCTGTCCATGTGTTCAGGCAGCTTCAACTCTTCCATAGTTTTTGAGTGTCTGGTGGTAGTTCGGCGTGAGTCGAGAGTGCCCTCATTGCGGTTATTTCTACCTGAAGGGCTGAGCAAAGTTCTTGTGTCGCTGTGCCTGGTAGGGGTTGGGCTGGTAGGAGAGTTCAAGTCTAAGCAACTGGATGGGAAGTATCGACTGGTATTAGTCTCTGTGATTTGGGCTCTGGCTTCTGAAAGGTTGCTCACAGACTTGGAGTCACTCAATGCCCCATGGCTTTTGGCCTTCGTCCTGTACGATGGACTCCTGGAGGACTGGGGGATGGTGTCAATGTAGCTGTGACGACTTTGCTTCTCACCGGGCTGCAGCGTCCCAGCTTTGCTCTGGGAGCTTTCCATGAATGAGTGCCTGTTCTGCTGAGATCTGCTGCTGGACTTGAGGTACTTGGTGCCTGGACCTTCTGAAGGCTTTGGGTCAATATTGAAATCAAACTCTGTTTTAGACTTGGCTTCTTTTGGGCTGAGAAGGTGTGGTATGTTGTTGTTTGTGAGATCTTTGCTGGAAGACCCTGGCTGGGTGCTTGCTTGGTAGGTTTTGGTGTGCATCGGGCTGAGAGTAGCTCCAGCAAGGTTTCCATTCAGGAAGCTTTCATTTGCAGGAAGGCCTTCATCAGCCCGGGGCAAACCCACACTTAGGTTCTGAATGTCCTTGCTGTTGGATCTGTGGTGAGTCTGTAAAGCAGCACCCTTGCTGGATTGGTTTCTATGTATAAAACAAAAGAGGCAGATCAGTTTCCTTCAATAGGGGAAAAAAGTATCATGTTGAAAACAAATAAGTAAGATTCAGTAAAGCAAGAAGAACATACTAAAAATACCAGGAAGGCTTAGAACACTGTGATGGAAGGAATGGAAAGAATTAAGAGCTAGAGGATGGGGAAGGAGTGCTGCTTTCCAGATCTGATCATCTTCACCTGGAGAGTAAAAGGTTTGGGGGGGCTGTCATAGTCTTTGGTGGTGTAACCACTGTTGCCTTGCTCCCACTCAAGCTAACAACCCCTTACCATATTCATGAAGGCAACACTAATTAAATGCCGTAGGCTGAGCACACACAGGCCATGAAAGTCACACAGGGACTTGGGAAGAATGGATTTGTTAGAAGGAGTAACAGGATGAGAAGATACTAGGAATATTTTAATAAGAGAATAGCATGTGTGTGAGAGAGAAAGAGAGAGAGAGAGAGGCAGACAGAGAGAGACAGAGAGATTGTAAAAGAATAATTTTACTAAAGAGCTGAAAAATGACTAAAATCACTAACCCTATCAAGTATGTCTCTATCGGGATCTAGGAGAAAGAGAAGGGGAGGAGAGGAAAGCAGGTGGTACTAGGAAGATTGAATCAGGGAAGGAATAGACGAGAAAAAGAGAGAGAGAGAAAGAGAGAGAGAGAGAGAGAGAGAGAGAGAGAGAGAGAGAGAGATACCATAAAAGAGGGAGCCATTATTGGTTTGAAGAGAAAATTGACTCTAGAGAAATGTCCAGAGACCTACAAGACTGACCCCAACTAACAATTTCAGCAACAGTGGGAAGTCTACCATAAATGCCCTTCCCTGATAATGAGATTGATGACTAACTTACCCACCATCATAGAGCCCTCATCTAGCAGCTGATGGAAACAGAAGCAGACACCCACCGCTAAACACTGAGCTGAACTGGAATCCAGATGCAGAGAGGGAGGACAAGACCAGGCTGCAGAAACCCACAGAGACAGCTGACCTGAACAAGGAGGCCCCCAGATTGATAGCTGATAGCTGGAAAACCAGCATTGTACAGACTCAGACCATGGGTCTGAGCAGTCTAAGGGATCTCTGACAGTGGAACCAGGATGTATCCCCGGTGCATGAAAGGACTTTGGGAGCACATTCCCCATGGAGGGATACTCCCTTAACCTAGAGGCAGGAGGGAGGGCCTAGTCCCTACTGCAAATGACAGATTTAGATGACCCCTCCTGGAAGGCACCACACTTCCTGTGGAGTGTGGGGGGATGGGATGGGAGGGTGGTTGGGGGCCATGGGAGGGAGGGAGAGAGGGAAGAAGGGAAGGAGAGGGAACTGGGATTGATATGTAAAATAAGAAAGCATAAATAAAACAAAAAATATGTCTCTATCAATAACAAGCAAATTTCTCAGACTAAGTCACTCAGCAATGAGCACTTCCTGATGTGGTTGTTTTGGCATCCTTAAATGTGTGTCTAACTTGCTGGCTGACAACAGTCACTAAGGGAGTCAGCTAAAATATGCTTTGGCTATGATTGTCTGGTTCAGCATAGCTAGTAAGAATAAGGCAGTTAGAAGACTGGTGGAAACACTAGACTTGAAGGTTACTGTGTTCCTTGAACTTCATTTTGTTTGTAAAACCTGTAGTCTGTCTCAGATACACACTCACAGTACCTACACACACACATGCCAACATCTCATCTTCAGCTTGTATCAATGAGTGAGGATTTCAATGATGTAGAAGAAAATGACAGCCTGAAAGAAATGTGACCTGACTAGCAAGGTTTGTTGGAAAACATGATGATCTGTGTTTATGTTTTAGAGAAGTGGCAATTACTTGGGGCTCTTGAGATAGTTCCTTGTACATTTAACAGAAATGCATCACTAACTGTTCAGATATTTTTGTGTAAACTAAACAGGAATTCTATACTGGAACACAGGGTCTTAAGTGCTAATTGCTTGGTAAAAAAACACAATTTAGTCTCTTCTTCATTTCACACTTCATTATTCCAAAGTGACTGAGCCCTTCTTTAGGGCTCAAAGCTTCATTTCCTACCTAGTGTAATATACCAATAGCCACCCAGAGAGAACCCTTGTCCTTTGTTTGAAAGCTGAAATGGGCATTCAAGAAGTCAGCTTGTTCTAATATAACTAATCAAAAGATGAGACTGTAGGCTTGAGATAGGTTACAAAGTTAGTAACACTTTATACAATTTCATTTTTTTCTTACTGTGAATTCAGAAAATGTTGCAAGTATTGCTACTGGTGAAGATGGATCAATCTGGAAGAATTTATTTCCACCAGACGCTAATTGGAAAAAAAGTCCTTTTGGACTTCCATTGCTATTTTATCAGAATGGCAACCCATAAAACTATGCCTTCTCATTTCCCCAGATTTAGAAAGGAATTACAAAGAAAATTTAAGTTGTGTTTTCTGTTACATGATATACAGAACATATATCCAGATCAATAAAGTATGGTGCCATATACAATAGTATCGTCTGTAAGACTGATTTCAGGGATGTTAAAAGAATTTAACACACACACTCATGCACACACTCACATACGCATGCTCACACGCGCGCGTGCGCGCACACACACACACACACACACACACACACACACACCAGAGCACGAGGATAGAAAGAAAGAAATGGGAGGATTTATTGAGGATACATTACAGAAGGTACCCTGGGTAAGCTATGGGACAGAGAGGATCTAGTGTTGGGATGAAGGACAAGTTCTTTTCATAGCAGTCCAGAGGAAAGTGGCTAAGTCTTATTGGATGATGCATATGTGCCATATCTAGATGACTAGTGGACATTTTATTATTTTGCCAAGAAATAAATTGTGTTTTTTTTTTTATTTTGAGTCTAGTCTAGCCTAGCTGTATCTTCCCCTTCATATTAGTTACCTGTATACAGACATGAGTTACTAGGAGCCAGTCTCTAGATAATTTGCTCTAAGAGTGTAACTAGGGATTATTATGCTTATTATGGTTAATGCCAATAAGATAATGGTCCTGCTTGTAGACAGACAGCAGCCTTTTTTCTGAGATCCACCTGCTCTGATGTTATAATGGCTCAGCAGTACACTCCATCCAACAGCAGCATGCAGCCAGTCTATGTATCCTAAAGGCATCAGGTTTTAAAACACCAGAATTGCCTGATTATTTACATCTTGGTAACCAAAAGATATCTCAGCAATGTTCCAAAAACTCAATTATGATATATAGTCTTATCCATAGATATATCTGGGTAAGTATGTTGACTATTCTCTTCTCCTCTATCCAGTCCTAGGCCTTAAGAGATGAGGTCCCTCAGGCTCCTATCTTTTGGTAGGGCTGAGCTAGGGAAGTAAGTATCACAGAAAAAGGGAGATGGAGGCTGGGGGGGTGGAGACAGACTTCCCTGTTTCCTCCTGGCCAGGCACCCTGACTCAAGTTCTAATTCGATCCTTTCACAGGGCTCCTTGTACCAAAATCTAACTCTCCCTGGAATCATATTCTCTCTGTGTGTCTTCTCTCTCTCCTCTCTCTCTCTCTCTCTCTCTCTCTCTCTCTCTCTCTCTCTCTCTCTCTCTCTTTCTCTCTCTGCTTTAGCTTCAAAAAAGGGTCAGGGAAGGATAAAGAACAGTGAAGAAGAAATCTGTTAGATCTGCTAGAACCCTTAGAATTACTACTATAGAAGTCTACATGTGATCTTACACACATTCACAGTAATACAAGAAAAAGGAAGCTATAAAGTTAAAGTGAAAACAGTTGTCAAAGATCAAGCTTTGTCATAAACAACTATGCTTCATGTTTTCATCTCAGGATTAATTGGAAGCTACTGAACTCAAGACATAGAACAATTTCTATGTAGAAAGGCCATCACATTATCTTCACATTGGAGCTCTGCCAAAGCACAACAATAAAAAGCAGCTTTGAAAATTCCATAGATCTCTTCCACACACAACTGCAAAAAAAAAAAAATCTATATTAAACTGACAGCCACTTACAAAGATTTAATATATAAATCACTCCATCACTTGTTTGTTTTCTAGACGGGGCCTCATGTTGTTTACATTAGCCTCAAACTGCTCAAGGCTGGCCTTGAATTCACAATTCTTCTGCTTCCTGAGTGCTGGGATTACATGTGTGCACTACTGCTGGCTATAAATCACTCTCAAATGGTTAGCAGAGTAGAGACAAATGGATAGACAGTTAATGTGTTTACTTAAAATAAGTTTAAAAGCAAAGATAGCCAGGCACAATGATACAAACCTATAACCCAAGCACTTAGGAGGCTGAAGGATAGCTACAAGTTCAATATACCATACTGGTATATTCCATAAATGAACAAGCAAGCAGAGACAGAGACACAAACTATATTAATAGGGGGCAGGTAGTAAAGCAGGACCATCAAGAGGACTGGCACAGTCAAAATGACATCATACTATGCACAAGGTGAAAGGAACCTTAGAAGAGCCCGAAGGTGACAAGCAGTGACTGAATAATGACTGAATCACTGTCTCCTAGAGGCAAAATGACTTGGGATGTGGGGTGACAGTGCATCTCCAGTAGAGGAGTGTGTGAGTAACAACCAGCAGATATAGTGTTATGAACACATCTAAAATGGTCTTAAGGCCTGTGTTGAGACACCAGCTAGAATTCATATACCTGGCAAGATAGTCTTCCATAGAGTAAGTATGGATCACAGACAAGACTGGCATCAGATGATGTAAGATTACTAAAAGAAAAAACACTTAGGACTTTCCCTTTTGATATATTCAATATAATATCAATATGTAAAAATGAACTCTTACAGAAAATTTTATTTACTAATAATTCCTACTGTCAAGTTAGTATTTGTAAGACTAATAATATACAGGCCTCCTTTCAGACTACAGATCATAGCAATGATGACTACAGAACAACTCACAAATTTATCATTGGTCTACCAAACTTCATATCATTGGGATAATTTTCTTTGTAAATGTAAATGAGGGAAGTCATGTGTCATTTCAAATATAAGGGAGACTAAAAGCCATAAACCAAGCCAGGCTTGATCCCAGAGAAGATACAAGAATAATGTTAACCAGCCAAATGCAAAGGAGCAACTAAATGATGACAGTTACTTCAAGGCTTAGTATACTAAAAGCTTGTGGATGGGAACAACAAACCAACCAACTAAGTAAGAATGGCTGAAAGTTGTGCCAGAACAAGTAGCTTGCTTGAAGAGTAAATAGCTCTGCAACAGTTACACTTTCAAAGTTAAGCAGAGAAAATTCAGGACCAATGCTTCTAACCTATGGATGCCCTCTCCCAGGCCTCAAAGTGCTAGGTATTGACCTTTCAAAAGTCCAGTCTATTAAGAATAGTTTTCCATATACAGAAGGAATTTGTGCATGTGTGGTAGTATTCAAATTTTAAAAGCTTCATTGTTTTTGATTTCTTAAGTGAAACAAATTACTTCTATATCCCATATATAAAAATCCTCAGATGTCAAAATTGGGTTCTAGAGGAAGAAGGAAGACAGGGAGCTTACACAGAACACCATTTTCCTGGAAATGCAGTGGGGGGTTTCAGGGCACAAAATTTATCTGGCTGATCCAATAGAGGGGAGGAGAAAGAAGGGAGAGGGAGAGAGGGAGGTAAAAGGGGAAGGAAGAGAGCAGGAGGAGAAGGAGGAGGAGGAAGAGGAGAAGGAGGAGGAGGAAAAGGAGAAGGAGAAGGAAAAGGAGAAGAGACAAGTTTTCAGCCAGATGTGGTGACAAGCCTGAAATCCTGGTACTCAGGAGGGAGAAGCAGGAGGAACTCAGCAAGCCTGAAGCCTGTCTGACTACCTAATGAGTTTCTCAGGGCTAGGATTACAGGTACGCCCAAGCAAGAAACACATATTTTAAAATACTATTTTCAAAAACTGATTTTAAAATGAACTACTTTTAATTATTGACTTCACTATTTTCATATGCTTATTTTTATTAACAAAACCCATCACCTCATTTCTCAACTCAATGATTGAAAGGCAAGAACATTAAAATCCCAAAACCCTTCTAAAGAGGTTCAGTTGCAGTATCCCCCCACATGCGTTCAGTATCTTCTTTTCCTTTCAGGAACCCTTTTCCCCTGTCATTTACACAAAATCTGCTAGGTTAATGCTTAATGCTGTCTGTGATGCTGGAAACTGAGTTGCTAACTCAATGCTATCTTTCCAAGGGAACACACAGGTCTCCATCATATACTTGTTAAGTACAAGAAAGTCTTCAAGAGTCCCACACAACTCTTTAATTATAGTTCTGAATCATGTAATAGACATGCAGAAGATATTTTTGAATAAAGAGGGCTTTCCTTCTTTTCGCTAATTGCATAATTTTAGCAGCCACCTCCTCCACCTACTTATAAGACCATGCCTGCATTTGTATTTCCTTAGAAGGGAATATTTACCTATTAGACAATGTGCTGCTTTCCACATGATAAGGTTTCCTTTTCGTTGACCTTGAAGGAGAGCGATCCAAAAGTCTCTGGGTTTGAAATGTAGGGTGATTCAAACACTGCTCTGTCAAGTATCTGTCAGCTGGGTCCAACTTTAGTAAATTCTTAGGAAAGAAAATTATAGGAATAGAAAGAACAAAGATGAATTTAAAATTTTCTAATGACCCTATCTTTTCTTCCTAGAAAGGAAATATGTGGTCACTGCAAAATACCTAGCAACAGTAGCTCAAGGAAAGAAAAAAAAATCATCCAAATCACCCACAATCTCACAATTAAAATCCTCCTGGTAGAAATCATTCTAACCCTGCTTGTGAACACCATATATAGTCTTTTTGCTATAATACATGGCTCATGATATACACTTGTTTTTAGATCCCATTCTTTCCACTTACTTATACAAAAACATATAACTTAAACATTTAAAAATAATTGCATTATTCATCTTTCTACTGTCTTCAAGATACCCAGTTATTCTCTCTGGAGATAGCTCAGATCACTAGTTCCCATACATTATACATGAAGTACATTATATACATGAGGTATATTCTGCACATACTTTCATCTGATTCCTTTAATTTTACCCCAATAGCTGTAAGCATGTAACTGTATGTATTTAGTTTCCCTTCCACTTAGCATATGATGTTCATTCCATAAGGTACAGAGCTTTAATTGTGTGTATACTTTATATTTTGTTTCCAGAATTTCCAAATGACAAATACTCCCATTTTTTCCTTTTTACAATACGATTTTTGGGAAGGGTGAGGATTGAAGGCAAGGCTTTGTGCATACTAAGCAAGTGCATTACAACTAAGCTACATCCTCAGACTTTACACCAAGGCTTTAAATGATTGAGTGGAAGCTTGTGATATAGATCTATTATAATTTACTTAGCAAGCATCCTACTACTAGACATTTGAATGCTAGCCACTTTTCATTTATGGTTAGTACTATGACAAACAAACCAAAACAAACAAACAAACAAAAAAATCCAACTCCACTTGAAATCGAATGGACTCTGAAAGGTGGCACTGGTATGAATGCATAACTCTAAAGAATCTTTTCTCCATGCTTGCTAAATTACCACTTAGGAAGTTTGTCTCAAATTATACTCTTCTCAAAAAGAATAGGAGTCTATCAATTTCTAGGTACCTTCACCAACAATAGGCATTCTCATTCTTCTTAGTAGTTGTAAATCAGATACTTAAAAGATGCTAGCTCACAGTTTTTTTTATTTAAAATTACTAGTGTGTGTATATGCATGTGTGGGTGTGTGTGCAGTTGCCCTCGGAGGCTATAAAAGGACATGGATCCCTGGAACTGAAGTTATAAGTGGATGTGTGCTATCCAATATAGGTGCTAGGAAACAAATATGGGTCCACTGCAAGAACAGCGAGTGCCTTTAACCACTGAGTCATTGCTCCAGTCTCTCTTACAGATGTTACTTACATATTCTTTTCATTCATTTTCCTGTTTCTGTAGCCATCCTTACTTAGTTCTAAGTGTTCTTTGTTCATTAAGACACTAACCCTGCTTTATGTTGAATGCAATGGAATTTTCACAACTGAAATATTTTCACCCAAAATTATTTATTTTAGCTGGATGGGATTTTTTATTCTGATTTGTAAAATGATCCAATATCTAAATAAATAACCAACATATCCTAACACAACATAATAAAGTTCTGAAATTCACTCTTCTAGGTATGTGTTCATTTTCTCTCAGAAAAAGGGTAAAATTCCAACATTTACAAATTCACTTCTAGGTCAGTTTTGTCTCATTCATAACTAATATCTTTAGTTAACTACTGAGAGCAATGTTGCTTCCAATAAGCCAGACTTTAATTTCAAACTAGCAGCACAGAACATTTCAATTCTGGTCCTACCAGATACTGATGTATTTATTTTGATCCAAAGATTCTAATTATTCAAACTCAACCACTAATTACATGTAAGTGAATTTATGTCTATATTAATCCAGACACGATTGCAAACTTATATCTTTTTTTCTCCCTTATAGAACAAAAACTGAACTGTGATGGTTTTAACTAGTATTTCCAACAGCTACTAATAAAATGGTTTCAAATATAAGGCGCTCATTAAAAAAAACAATCAGCCCCTAAGAAGTCTTTTTAAATTCAAAACATCTATGACGTTTCATGAATGTTGGTGCTGTTTTAACTTCTACAATATCATGTAGAAGTTATTGTATACACAAAAGCTATATTCATATGCTATGAATATGAATACCATTACTTTAAAGCATGCACACCATGTAAGGAAAGTATGAAATTTACCTAGCTAACAGTTAAAAATATTTAGCATGTGGGGAGAGGCATCATCATTTTTTTTAAAATAACATGAATACAATTATTGCAGTTATTTTTAAAATTATTAAGGATATGGGTGTGTACTAATTCTAGTGGTTGTATCTCTACTAAAATGGCAGCTATAAAGGGGTATAAGATTAGATAAACATTTTAAGTATTAGATGTGGACACAATTAACATACATTTAGGGAGCAGCAAAGAGACTAACTGGAAGGAAAATGGAGGCTTTTCATTTTGAAAAGGATGGTGATATGGGTGTGTGTACACATATAATTCAATAATAATTAGGCAATGTTAATCAGTGACAGAAATCAAAATTATGGTTTATGAGTGGGCCAGGAAGGTACAGCCTAGGAAGGATCTAAAGGAGGCTTCTAAGATATTAACTAAGTTTCTATGTCTCAATCCAGGTAAGGTAACAAAATCTTGTTTACATTTATAAAAACTCAGAAATGTAGACATAATTTGAGTACTTTTTAATGGGTAGTACATGTGTGCACACATGTGGTTTGCATAATGTATGTCTATACATACATGTGCCTGCAGTGGTCAGAAGAAGGCATCTGATCCCCCAGAACTGGAGTTAAAAATGGTTGTGATCTGCCATGTGGATGCTGGAAACTGAACCTGGGTCCTCTGGAAGAGCAGTCAGTACACTGAGCCATCTCTCCAGGCTCCTGAATTAGTATTTCAATAAAAACACTTGCTTACTTTTAGAGAACAGTGTCAATAAACACATCAAATAATAGGCATTGGAATGTTTACTTTCCAAGTCCTTTCCTCCCTCCAAACCCTTCCATATAGCCCTCTCCACTCTCCTTCAAATTAATGAATGGCCTCTTTTCTCATTAATCTCATTGCATTTTTAACTAAAGAAAAAAAAGACATAAAATTGTATTTAATTCAATTTTTCTACTCTGTTATACTTATATTTTAAAACTTACTAAATGAGTAAAGACCGAATTAACAAGTATTGGCTACATGAAAGAAGGTATTAGCAAAAGCCAACTGATTTACCTAATAATTTATGTCTAATTAAATTGTGTGTTGAGGGTTCATTAGAACAAAATAGCAGTTCTTTATCTGTGTTAATAACATCAGTACTTTATTGGAGTTTTATGCAATATAGTATTTGGTATTTAATTAAATTTGGGAAATGTTCAGACAGAAATGCTTTACTGTGAGATTTCGAAATCCATTATAGGTTAATGAATGCTGTGTATCTGTAGAAAGGTTGCAAGTTATTTGGCCTCTCAAATGCCAATGCCCTTCCTCCACATCTGCCCCCAAACCTACTAACACTGTTCCCTGGGACTGAGGTAAACATGCCCTAAAACACAACAAAGTTCTAAGAACACAGCTCAGTAACTTGTCCCTACGCTGTGTGTCTTTTAAAGATTTTAAACACAATGTAGCCCCCACATTTTGATAGCTGAGTGAGTGGGCATAAAACAAACCTGATTCATAATCAAGCATTGAAGTTCTACTCTGAAACCATCAATGTTTGTATGTACATTTACAAATTGGGAAAATATGAAAAGTAGTTTTTACTCTAGGGACTACGTTCTATTGAGGTAGAAAAAAAAACTTTGCTTGCTTGCTTATTTTTGAGACAGGATCTTTATAGCTCAAGCTAGCCTCAAACTTAGGGTGGTCTTCCTATCTCACCCTCCCAAATTGTGATACTACAAGCATGTGCTACCATGTCCAGCAAGAAAATCTTTAATAAATAATTTTGGGTATAAAGAGGTGGCACAAGACTATAGCTAGGATATCTGAATCTTCTTCGAATCCCCCAAGACAGCGCCCCTTACCAGCAGGAAGTAGTTTGGAAAGAACGACGCCCAAATTCCCAAATATTGTGTATAAATGTTTGTTTTCATTTAATTGGACTTTGTCATATAAAATTAAATAAAAATAAATAAATAAATTAAAAAAAAAAAGAGGTGGCACAGTGGTTAAGAGCACTGCCTCCTCTTCCAGAGGACCTGGATTTGATTTCTAGCATCCACATGGTAGCTCACATCAGCCTGTAACTACAGTTCCAGGGGACCTGATGCCTTCTTTTGGCCTCTGTAGGCGCTGCATGGCATGCAGACAAAACACACACACAATAAATAAATCTTAAAAAGAGAGTTTTGAGGATGTTTTTAGTAGTTTGGAGTAGGCTGTCTTTTGATGGGAGGAACACTTAGATCATGATGTTAGTAGTGATCCTGATACATCTGATCAGAAAGAGCAATCCATCTAGGTGAGAAGAGGCCCAGTCAGAGGAAACAAAAGAATTAGATTCACTGATTAAATCTACATAAACCATGAGTAGCCTTCAATGTTGTATAAAAATAGTTGTAGAATCCTTTGTCTTACAACATTCACTTTATGATTTGTTTTAAAATGTAAGTGTGAGTAGTTCTTGAGTGCCAACAGATTTTCATTATTCTGCCCATTTTAGGAAAATAATTTAGGGATTACATGCTCCTCTCTAGATGGACTGAGACAACACCAGATTCCTGTTGCAATTATAAATAAATTACATGCCTTTTAACATGACATGCTTCCCATTAATCATCTACTAGCAAAATATTTAATTCATAAAAGCAGGCTATGGTCCCAAGTAGGCAGAGGAGAATCCAAAAACCAAAGGATTTTTATTTTGTAGAAAAAAAACACTTTTCTTACCTTCATAAGATCAAGTAAAACACTATTTAAAATTCCAAGGTATCTTCTCTCTAATGACTGAGGATGGTTAACAGCTGGAAACTGGAAGGATAACACAGCATGGATGTTAGCATTTGGAGAAGGATATGTGTACATACATTTGTGGGGGTTATACAATGCAGTGTTTGTACAGAAATCATTGCCCTAGTGTCAATCCAAGTCAAATTACTATTTGTGTATTAATTTTCATGTCTATATATTTTAGATATGAATTAACAAGACCAAATATTAAATATTGGGAAAACTTACAGGTGAAAGATGATATCTAAAACTAGACAGACAATATTGAAGCTTGCAAAATGAATAAAAGTCTGAGCTTATATATTTAATAGACTCTTGTCTGCTTATACAACTTGTTTCTAAAACAATTTATAGACAAACTGTCTGGTTCAACAGACAGTTCTCAATACTGACAGACTGGAAAACTAACAGAAGGGCTATGATATGATATCATATAAAGATGTCTTGGCCTTTCCACAAGAGTATGTAATTTACTCCTGAAAATGGAGATATAAGAAAGGCAAAAAGGCAGCAATAGGCTAGAACCCAAAAAGCTCCATTTGAAATGTGAGTTTGGGCACCTGTCCTATTATTGTTTTCAATATACTCTTCAAATGATCTATTTTAAAAATCTTATTGTAAAACTGTAACTTAAGGCAAACATAGATACTTAGATCAACAAATTCATTTCTAAATAAAGTAAGAGGGGTTGAAGCTTTTGATGATGTATCTTTTCTTCTACCAATTCACACCTGTCAATATCTTGAGTGGTATGGAAGCACTTAGGAAGACACTAGCACAACTCAAGCATTTATACACCTTCCAAATGTTGAGTGCTAGTTTTCTTATAATATATATTTCCTTTATACCAATATAGGGACATTTAAAAGTAAAACATTCTTAAACATGCTGAATAAAAGGACAGAGAGACTAACTATATAGTATAATCAAGCAAAATACTAAGACATATTTATAGTGCTATCCCTATATTACATTCTGTAGGGCAAGAGACACACTTGAAAAAAAAGGGAATCGATTAACTGTGAATCTGTAAATGAGAGGCAAAAGCCAGGCATGCATGGTGGCATACACCTGTAGTCTCAGCACTCAAAAAGGTCGAAGCAGGAAGATCTTGGGTTCAAGGCCAGCCTGGGATACATAGTGAGAACCCGAGGCTGTAGAAGAACCTATGGATATGTTGAACTCAACTTTGAAAGAAAGACAGGGAAGTAATGTTGTGCAAAGCATTTTGAGTATTATAATCCTTACATTTCAGAGATGAGGAAAATGATGATCCAAAGTTCAAATAACTGGTTCAAGGAAAGCTACTTAATTAATGATACAAACCCACATTCTTTCTAAATAGAAATACCTCTCCCAAGGGAGCTGAAGTTTCTATTGATGATATTTAAGCATTAACTATCAGCCTACAGGGTGGGGCACCAGCCATGCTATGATAGAAGACTTTCTACCAGCACATTTTAATACAGACTTTTCTTCTAAGGTCCATATTATTGTACCATATACCATTCTGTTCTTTCCCCACGAATGACATTTCACTGATAAGACAATTAATTCTGAATGCTAAAAGGTCTTAGAAAGATCACAATAAACAAAACTGACCAGGACAGGGAATTCTCTGTGAGATTGTGTCTACTAGTAATGTCAGAAGCTACATGCATAAAGTCTCACCAACATGACTGCCTAAATGTCTGAACAAGAGGTACACAAACAGGCATGCTAATGTGGACAAGGAAAGTTAACATGGCTTCTTCAACCCTGTACAAGAAACTACAGACAACTAAGGAATGTTGACAGCAGGAGAAATAGCTTTTCCCAGAAAAGAGCACACAAATTAGTTATACCAAACCAAACTTTGGTCAGCCCTGAAAAACATATATATATATAAATGACAATATATAGGTTGAGCATGTTATAAATAAGAACACACACACACACACACACACACACACACACACACACACACACACCGACAATTAATGGAAAAAGAGGCCGTGAATTTGAAAAGAGTGCAAGGACTGATAAATAGGAGAGTTTGGAGGGAGGAAAAAGGCAGGGGAAAATGATTTAATTACATTATAATCTTAAAATATATAAAAAACTAAAAAATGACTAGGCAAACTCTCAACTTAGAAATATAATGTATATTCTGTTGAATGAAATATGCTATGTTAACATGAGATAATTCAACACAGTGCCAAAGCTTGTGCATACAATTTAAAACTATATCCTAGGTTTTTACTTTCTTAATCATTTGGCTAATAAAATACAATGTGAGTACCTCTTTACTGAGCACTGTCTATACACTATGCCCTGGTCTGGGCCTTTTGTTCACTTGCAGTGCTAGAGATGGAAGTCAGGGCTGTGAGCATGCTAGTCAAGGACTCTACTACACAGATACACCCTGGCCCTTAGGACATTTTTCATAGATAATTTCATCTTCATCATAACCTATCACATGTGAAGAAAAAACAGACAATGAAATAGCTTTTGGAAGTTACTGATGGTAGTAAATACAGGCACTCTAATAGTTTACTTCCACTATGGTACAATGTAATTATTTTTCCAAACATAATTATTTTTCCAAATAATGAACATAAGTAGAATGACATGTTATATATTTTCCAGTCTCTATACAAGTGAATCCAAATACACTTATGCTGGATTTGTTACTGGTTTTTTTTTTTTTTTTTTTTTTTTTTTTTTTTTTTTGGTTTGCAGCAAATGTAGTTCATGGACCCTTTTTGCTTGGCTATGTGTCACAGACAGTTTCAAAATATAAAGGAAAACTTTACCCTTAAAAGACATTAGACATTAAACCTCTAAATTGACTGCACAAATTTTGTTAAGACACCATGAACACTTCAGACTAAAATGCAAATATAGTAAAGGCTATAAAAATCAAACTGTCCCAGAAGCAGCAATCTCCTCAAAGGATATTAGAGCTGCCACAAGGAATCTAGCATTCTATAGACACTGCTGTTTAGTGAGGAGATCTGTGAACAGACAGGACTACAGACACAAGAGAAAAAGATGATTTTGTGGGTCCTCTAAATTTGAATGTGGCATCTAATTCAAAAGCGATTTATTCTTCAAAGACCCACCTTAAATTTTAAATCTGCTATAAAACTGTTCTAATGAAATGTCAGATATGATTTCTAACTTTCCAGAATGCATGACATGCTCATGGTACAAATCACAATGAAATATGTTAGACGCAGAACAATGAAGTGGAATGCAGTGCATTATGCTTTCCTATAAATTTATAGTTTAGTTATTAATTCAGTATGTGTTTTATATTAGTAGTTTTGGTTTTGTTTTGTTTTCCTCTATGAAACTCTCATATCTGTGTGGCATGAGCACAGCTTATAATACCTGCACTGGAGATGTCAAAATCACAAGGGCAAGGCAGTTTGGATTACATTTAGTATGACCCTGTCTCCAAAAACCAAAAACAAAAATCTAGCATATATTAAGAACTACATAAACAAAAACAAAAAAAATTCTAGATCATTCATTCAATTGACAAATGGGTAAATGAACTGAATACATTTCTCAAAATAAGATATACAAAAAGCCAATAAATGTTTGAAAAAAAAGTTCAACAACAATGGCCATGAGCGAAATGCCAATTAAAACTGTCTTGAGATTCTCTCTTACTTGAGTCAAGCTTAAGAAAACAACAGCAAATGCCGGTGAGGTTGTGGGGAAAGAGGAACCCATAGTCACTGCTAATAGAAATGTAAACTTGTATAGCTACTACAGAAATTAATGTGGAGGGTCCTCAAAAAAGCAGGAAACTACCCTCTGAGCTATCAGCTACACCATTATTGGGTATCTTCTCAAAAGGAATTGAAAATGACACAACACAGAGTTACCAGAATAGCCATACTTACTGCAGCACTGTTCACAATAGCTAAGATACAGATCCAGCCTAGATGCCTACCAGAGATGAATAGGTAAAACATGACATATATGCACAATGGAATCTTATTCGGTCATTAAGCAATTGAAACCATGTCAGCTGTAAAGAAATAGATGAATAGAAGATAATCATGTAGAATAAAATAAGGCACATTCAAGAAAGCAAATACAACCTTTCCTTTCATATGTGGGATGTAGATTTCACTATGAGGCAGAAGAGAGAGGTCTGACAGAGAGGGAGATGAGATAAGCCAGGATAGTGGGGAGAGAAAGAATGTATCACGTTTCTTTTCATATGCAGAATTTAGGTGTGTGTGTGTGTGTGTGTGTGTGTGTGTGTGTGTGTGTGTGTGTAAAGTAAGAAGAATAGAGGTAGGTTAAAGGAACCATCAAAAGAGGGTAGGAGGAAGGATGGGGGAGGGCAATGTGGGTGATGAATAAGAGCAAGGTACAATGATATACATATGTAACTACAAAGAAAATTATTTTGCATGATAACTAATAGAAAAAATAAAGTTGGGAGGGATAAAGAAAAGGAAATGTCTTAATTTCTTAGTTTCTAAGTTACTGAGTAGGTCTAGAAATGTCAAAATCTGCTCACCATTCAGATTCTGTGGCATAGACCTTCTAACTTAGGCCTGTAATAAATCAACTAGTAGACCAAGTTTAATGATATTATGATCCTTCAGCCAAATATATATTCAACACTTTGAAATCTAGGAGATTGCATTTTAGAAGTGCTATTATGAATGGAGCAGTTTCATTCCTCAAGAAATTCATGAGTCTGGTAAGGAGGCATATTTTCAACGAGTATGCAATGGGTGTGACAGAAAAGAGAAATGTGATCAGGGTGCTACAGGAGCTTGGTACAACCTAGACGAATACTCTAGAAGGGATTCACTGGTGCCTAGGTCAGAGCTCAGAGCACTAGAGATGCGACAGTGTGGTACTACAGAAGACACATGCTATGTCAAACAAATGGTGGGAGATCCTCGGTGGCCTGAGAACATAGGAAAGAGATCAGGACAGGTGATGCTGAGGCTGGAGGGCCTTTACTGCTACTGGAAAGAGTCTAACTTTTAACAGAAATCACAGAAAATGTTAACCAAAATGGAGACAGATTTAAATGTGTATTTTGAGAGAAAGTTGAAGAGATCAGTTTGAAACTAACTCAAAGCTCAGGTCAGGATGATGGGATAAAAGCATTAGGAGCAGAGAAAAATGAAATGCAATTGAATTTGAGTGCTGATGGCACAGACTCATCCACTCAGTCAGTGTCTACCACACAAGTGATGGTTAAGTGTTAACTGTCAACTTGACATAAATCTAGAATTTCCTGGAAGAGGGGCCTCCATGCTTGTCTTGATTATCTTAATTGATGTGGAAAGGCCCACTTTAATTGTGGGCAGGGCCATTCCTGGACTATATAATATGGAGAAAGGGAACTGAGCAATAGTTTGTATCTCTTTGCTTTTTGACTGAAGACACACTGTGACCAGCTCCCTCAAGTTCTCCCAGTTGTGACTTCCCCACCACAATGGACTGTAATCGTAACTCTAGGCCCAAATAAACTCTCTCTCCCTTAAGTTGCTTTTGTCAGGGTATTTTATCACAGCAAAAGGGAAAGAAACCAAGACAATGTGTCCTGGGCTCTATTTTTAGTGTTCTAGCATCTAGTATAACATTAAGTACTAAACTGATACCATAGACAATTTATATCCTTGGTAAACTTACAAAAAGATGAAATAATTCCATGTAGGCCAGGCATGGTGGCACATGCCTTTAATTCCAGCACTTGGGAGGTAGGGGGAGGCAGATCTCTGTGAGTTCAAGGCCACCCTGGTCTGCAAAGCTAGTTCCAGGACGGCCAGGGCTACACAGAGAATCCCTGTCTTGAAAAACTACTAAAAAAAATCCATGCTATGTTCAGTGGTATGATTGGAGGAAAGAAAAGTACTATAGGGGAAATCATGAAGAATCATCTGAGAGAGGAGAGACTCTGGGTTGAATTATTGAACAAGAAGAGGACATGCAAGACAAAAATGTTCCCAGAAGAAGAAAGTGCTTGTTCCAAGTTCATTTCAGAAGTACCATACCCTTGGGATACCTATAGAGGTCAAAGAATAGGCAAGTGTGGAGAATTTGGAGGGAGGCGAATGGAGACAGGTATGAGACAAGGTCAGAGAACCAAAGGGCCCCAATCACGCAAGGCCTCACAGGATATGACAGAGATCATGCAATGATTCTCAGTGAAAACAGAAATTAATTAATTATGACTACCTTTATTTTATTTGTGAATATAATATTTGCCTTTCTGTTACACCAAGAGCACATCCTATTTATTGTCACATTTTCAGCATCTAGTGTAAGAAATGTTCTAAAACTGTTGAACTAATTGGTTGAACTACATACTACCTGTAAACTAATCAATGGTCACAATTTGGCTGATACAAGCAAAAATAAAAAGAGAAAAAGTAGTCTAAAGTAACTTAGGAACATTTGGAAGAGGAAGTGAGAGGAAAAAGGAGAGAGAGGAATGAAAAACTATATACACCTAACTTTGTTCATTTCTTCCAATAGTGCTGATCTCAGTAGGAGCTGGGGCTGTGTTGTAGATTTACATGTGAGCAGTAGTGTTCTCAAAGATAAAAAACAAAGTGCTTTACAAATGGCAAGAGATATCATGAATTTGTCATAACATGATAGTTGATGGTTGCTGAGGGAAGAGGGGTCATATTCCTTTGGGGTCAAAGCTGCTAGTAGGTCACTCATATACACATGAGAAGCACTAACTTGACTCATGAGGTTATCAATAAAAACAAGGGCAAAAATAATGGAGGACATAAAATTTAGAGGAAGATAAGGTGGGGAGACCCTAGGGCGTGTTGGAGGAAGGTAATGGTAATTGGACATGGTTGAAAATACATTGTATGAATATACAATATTTTCAAAGTTTAAAAATACTTTAAAAACATAATAGCATAGCTCGAGAATCATGCATTTGTACTGGAAAAGGAGCTAAAAGAAGGTATGATGAAATTGTTTAGTAGTTTCTACAATGACTGCAAATTGACACAATGGTTCCAAGAAGTGCTTAAAAACTTAAGCTGCTTTTGGGGATAGATGGAAATGAGTAGTCTATAAATCACTCATCATTCTGATGAGGTACCTGTGGCAGTTACATGTTCCTCATTTGGAAAAAATTCATGGCTTTGAATTTTTTTTTTCATTATATTCTCAGCAAATAAGTTTTGCACAAAGGCAGCAAGTCTAAGAAAATCTGCCCAAGGCTCTGACTCCTACAAAGATTTAATGTTCCACTGTCAATGTGCAAGAAATATCTGTGGAGCAGACCCACTAAATCTGTAGAATGCAAGTACTCATGGCCATCTTTAAGTCACCATAAATACATTCACCTAAGTAAACAACAGCACCTTTCTATATTTTGGAGATGCTTAAATTTTTGAATGAAGAAAGAGTGTAAGAAGGGTTTGAAATAAAATAATGTACATGCTAAAAAGATTTTGAAAAATCAAACTTTACAAATTAGAAAAAAAGACATTAGCAGCTTATGCTTTCCAAATGTGGCCATTTTTAAATTTATCAAATACTATATAGAATTCAGAAATAAAATATTATAGTGAGAATTAAAAAGACTGTGATGGGAAGGAAAAAGTGTGCAATGTGTAACTTAGCATTCCACTATGCAATGAACAGCACGTTAAATACTGCCAGATTGATTCCATTTTGAATTTTAGCAAAGCCTCTTACCCGGAGCCCATGGAAACGAGGATTACTGTAGAAGAGCTTCATCTGCTCAGATGGAAGTGGTCCTAGCACCTTCTGAATAGTAAAGAGTTGGTCAATTTCACTTTCTCCAGGAAATAAGGGCTGTCCATCACTAAGCTCACCAAGAATACAACCCACTGACCACATGTCCACAGACTTTCCATAGGGAGCTCTGAAAAGCAAAGCAAAAGAAGAGGTGATCTTAGCAACTGAAGATACAAAATGGTTTAATAAGTCTCAATTTATTTTGGACCAATTCAAGATTTAAAACATGCATGCATGTACTTAAGGAATTTAAAAGGGCCACTAGTTAAAGTGAAACTGGAAAGAAGGAATTAGAGCTACCTACATAAAAATTCAGTAGTCAAGTCCATAACCCACACTGAAAAAGAAATCAATTTAAACACAATTGAGTTAGTATATACTAATTTTAAATCTAGGTATATCTTGAACACTAGTGGAGTATATACATTGGGTAAGAATACCCCACATAGGGAATGTAATGTTCCCAAGAGATGTATTTCCAAACAATTACACTTTAAGTTTAGGTCTGGATGTTATTTAACTTCTGATTGCTTAGTATCACAATTTACAAACAGCTAAGATGAGTTACTTGAATATAACTGTATTTTGTGTGAGGCATGCTGATAGCTACTTCTATCAAATAATGTTTTAATGTACTTAAGGGTTTGTAGCTCTCTTTTACGACCCAAGTCACTAGAGAGCTTTACAAAGAGAGTTTGCTCCAAATGGAGGCCATAAATGAAAATCTAAGGCTCCCCAAAACAGCCTTAAAGCTTGGTACCTAAAGCCTAAAACAAAATTATTTATGACAGTTTAAACAAAAACTGTATATATAGTTTCAAACATAAATAATCCAAATGAAATTCTAGAATGCCATAATGATATATAAAAATTTAAACTAAAGCAATATTAGCATACAGAATATATTTAGGTTAATATAAGTTACTGCAATAACTCAGTATTTCATTAATCCCATTTCCTTCCCCATACAAAAAATAAAACCATGAGGAAAGATCATTTAGACATTTTTGGTAGCTTTCTGGGCAATTAAACATATTTAAAAATACTATTTGAGATAAAGAAAACCTGTCTTACTGGTACTACAATAAGAAACCTATGAAAAAAAATCTCATGCTTGTGACAAGACAATTTAATCCTATCATCTAATTTGAATACTTCATGCTGAAACTATTTTGGACATCAAGAACAAAGTCCTCGGAATGTATAAACATGAGACTTTTAATATAAAATCAAATACCAACTGATTTCAATGAAATTTTTACACAAATAGTATGGAACTTAAACTACAACATGACAATTCAACTGAACTCAAGTTGGCTGTGATGTGCTTATCTACTTTTAGCAACTATCAAATATATCTAAACATAACTCCAGTTTTCCAATGTGTACCTCTAGAGAACAAATATTCTCTAAAGATTCATAATAAAGTATCCTTGTAACACACTTCATGAGTCTATTTTATAGACAAAAATCACATTTTAAAGATTTCTGCCATACTTGGACTCTTGGTTGCAGTTCTAAGAATAATCTACTTCCTACTCTTCATTGGCAAATAGTGTCCTCTAAATTCAAATTACAAACCCCTCAAGAGAATACAATACAGCCCAGTGATCCACAAAGATACACAGGAGAAATGCAAATGTATACAAAGAAAAAACAATCCTAAGTCAATGATCAAAAATTAGGACAAGAAGCTGGGGAGATGGCTTAATGAGAAAAGGGCTTGCTAAGCAAGCATGAGAACATGAGTTTTTATCTCTAGTACCCATACTTATACTTATACTTATAATGTCAGCATTAGGAAGCAGAGACAAAATGATCCTGGGGGCTCACTGACCATCCCATCCAGTCTAGCCAACCAAATGAGCTCCAGGATCAGCAAAACATCCTGTCTCAAAGAAATAATGAGAATAATACAGGAAGATACCCAATGCCAACCTCTGACCTTCCCATATGTATTCATGGTGGTATGTATACACACACACACACACACACACACACACACACACACACACACACACACACATGCATGCACACACCAAAAAAAAATTAACACAGAAATCTAAAACATGGTTCATTCAAATGATGGTAACTAACCATGATTTGCTTTGCAGGATAATGCAATCTTTTGATTTAAGAGAATAATAAAAGTTTTAAGACATCATTAATACTTATTGACCCTAGATCAGGCATAAATCAAGAATTGCCTCAGATGGTGGCTGGTAAACATTAGAAAATTAATAGTTAACATTCAATAAATATTCAGTGAGCAATACATATAGTCACTGGTGCTATTCAGAAGAACTACAGAAATTTATATTACTATTATGTAAAAGGTATGTCTTAGGAATTAAATTTCTCATATTCCTCCAGATACAAATATGTTACATGAAAGAAATGTGGTAAAACCTACAATCGGTGTAGCTTTCATTATTTACCAACATGACTAATTTTATTTGTTAGAGGTTGTTTCCTTTCTCTGTTACTGGTTTCCAAAGAAGGAACTATGGCTATGAAAAATGAGAAAAATACTACAACTAGGATAGGTAGAAAATTACGAATGAGAATATGTGTTGGAGATGCAGACTTCAAGCTCCTTCTTGGCTGTCAATTAAAATACATTAAAAAGAAACTTCTTAGATTTTCTGGTATTAACAGATGAATGTCAGGACACTGAAAGTGGAAAGATGAGCAAAGTGGATGAATGTAGAGATGTGGCTGAAAAGAATCAGCAATGTAGGTCTAATATGAATTTATACCCACTTATCATCAAACAAAGTTTTCATCATTCAGAAGAAAACTAAAAATTGTTTCAGTATTTACCCCATGTCTAGCCAAGAGGCTGAATGTAAACTTAAACATGTCTAATGTATCAACAGATAAGCCAGAATGTTACACCATCCTCTTGTAAGTCTTTAATACTACTGTTAAGAGGTAGTGGGGCTGGAGAGATGGTTCAGTGGTTAAGACCACTGGCTGTTCTTTCCAGAGAATCCAAGTTCGATTCCTAGCACCCACATGTCAGCTACAACTGTCTGTAACTTCAGTGCCAGGGGACCCAATGGACATAAAAAAAAAGAGCTAGGATTTGTTTCTCCATACTTTGAATTAGGGCTTGGTCATGAGGCTTGCTTTGGTCAATAAGGCAAATGCTATACAAACAGGGGCTTGGAAAGCACCTTTGATTTAGGGCTGAACATTATGATACACATAATTCTCCTATCACATTTAGAAACTTAGACTAGCTTACTGAAAGATAAGTCATGATGGATACATGATGTTCTTCCAGGGGCTAGGAGAATGGCTCAGTTAGTAAAGTACCTGCCTTACAAAAACTAAGGACCTGAATTTGGTCTCTAGAATACACAAAAATGTCAGGCATGCTGGTGCATACTTGTAATTTCAGCACTGGCAAGGCAGAGACAGCTGGATCGCTGGGGTTCACTATCCAGGCAACCTAGCTAGCCTAACTGATGAATTGCAGGCCAGCAAGAAAACTTGTCTCCCAGAAGTGACTGGATGCCCGAAGAATGACATTTTAGCCTCTCTGTGCAATACACTCCCCTCCACACTGACACACACATGCAGAAAAAAAAGGTATATCAGACATCAGGCAAAGCCCTCTACAAGGCAAAGCCCTCTACAAGGCAAAGCCCTCTACAACAACTAGCTTCCAGTCCATTGCCAGTCAACTAGCTACCATCAGAGTGACTCCAAAAGAGTCAAGTTACAGGTATTCAGAACTGCGATAAATAAAATGAAGCTTGTTTCTCAGCATCAAGTTCTTAGGTGTGTGTGTGTGTCTTTTACAGCAAATATGCAACTGATATATTTAAGTAACCCAAGTTTTTATTTTCCTTAAGTGATCCCAATGCAAATGATAAAGAAACAATGAATGTGTATAGGCTTCTCTATTAAGAAAGGTAACTCACCCAAGTAATAGCTCTGGCGACCGATACCACCTTGTAGCCACATACTCTGTGTAATTTGCATTATTGCCTTCTGAGAGATTCCGAGCAAAACCTGAAAGAATAGCAATTTCCGGTTGGCAAAATAGTTCACCTCTAGTAACACTTTCAAAGAATACCAAAAGAACATAATGACTAATATTAAATTGGCTGCTTATTAAGAATGTCTTTTGAAATATGTTCATATGTTAAAGCACATGACAAATTTGCTATAGGCTCAGTCTTTCCTCCATACTAAAGAGATTCATGTTTTCAAATTCACTGTGTGTTTTTGAAAGCATTTGAAGCTGTATTTTCAAATAGGATCTCCTACAATTTTCAATTTAAAATTGAGTGCTCAGTAGGGCCAGAAGTCAGTCACACAAGCATTAATTCTGCTATGTGAGACCTACATAGCATTGTGTATTTACTGTTGCTGAGCAGTTCCAGTCATTAAGTAAACAATTAACAGTTGGCACTGAAAGAAACAAGTAGGCTGAAAATTACTCTTAGCCCTTGATGTTGTAGAAGCGACTTATGAGTATCTTAATTACCTTATAAATGCCAGCATTGTTTTTGTTCCTCACTCTTTCCAAAGGTTTAAGACCAAAATATGAAACAGTAGGATAAATTAATTATCCATTGAACTCAACAAATGCAATACTTTCACCACCAGGGGTTATAGAGAATGAAAACATTAAGACTGAAGTAAAAATTAAGGTTCCTGTCAGTTGGAGAAGCAAAAATTACTGTTTCTTAAAGTCAAACAGGAAAGAAAGGAAGGAAGGAAGGAAGAAAGAAAGAAACGAACAACAACAGCAGAAGACAAAGCCCCTAACTTCAACTAATCAGTTCTTCTTACTGAAGGATTTGATGAATAACTATGTATAATTATGAATGGGGCTCTTCAAGCCAAAGGAGTTGCCTCTCTACTAGGGAAGGGAATTAATTAGGAAGTCTTTGACAGGACCCACAGGACATAGGATGCCACATGGAGTGCTGCCAGAAGGAACTTCCTGAACTTTTTAAAGTAATGCTAGAGAAACAGTACCCTTTTCCTATTATTACCAGTTCTGCAGGCATTTCTTTTGTATTTATACCTGTTTTCTAATTTTCAGTCACCTTGAACCTTAATGTAGAATCATAGAGGCATAGTAAATAGGGTACGAGGAACAGAGAGTCTGCTGACACTTTGGGAGGTAATCACAATTATAGATAGGAACTCATCAATAGACAATACTCCTGGTAACCAGGGTAGGCCAGAAGAGGGAAGTTAGATCTCCTGGAACTGGAGTTACAGGTAGTCCTGAGCTGCCTTGTGGGAGTTGGGAACTGAACCCATGTCTTTTTCATGAGCAAGAAGTACTCTTAATCACCGAGCCATCTCTCCAGCTCCCAATAATATTTTAAGGAGTTGCCATTTACATACCAACTACAGTTTCTCCTCTCTCCTCTCCTCCTGTTCCCTTTCCCCACATTCCTCCTTCATCCCCATTTAGATGGAATAAAGCCTCCTACAGGAATCAACAAATCATGACATATCAAGTTGAAGCAGAACAAAGCTCCTTCCCCTTGCATCAAGGCTGGGTGAGGCATCCCACCATAGGGAATAGGTTCCAAAGAGCCAGCTCATGCATCAAGGACAGGTCCTTGTTCCACTGCTAGGAGCTCCACAAAAGACCAAGCAATACAACTGTCACCCAGATGCAGAGGGCGTAGGTGTCCCTTGCCATCTCCCTAGCTGATGGTATATTACTCTTATATGACACACAAATATTTGCTTCAAATTATCCATTAAATAAATAATTGTCTGATATGTAGATAATATACTATACAATAAATAGAAAGCAAAGCTATCCCAGTCATCAACTGTGAGCATATGACCTAAATAAATGCTCTTCTACTAATTTTAATCAAAATATAAGATTACTTTTAATATACCTTTAAAAGCTACTCATGTAGCAAATTAAATAATCCTGTTACTATTGGGGCTTGATTTCTTTTTAACTCACCAAAGTCGCATAGTTTCAGGACATCATTGTGGCTGATTAAGAGGTTTTCAGGCTTTATATCTAGAATAAGAAGAATAAAATCGAGTAAGTAAAAATGTTTTATTTTGTGCTGGACAATGCAAAGAAGAGGAAGACATTTTATGCTGCTACAAAAAATGGTTCAATTAATTTCTTTTGAAGAGACATGCATACCACAATTACCAAGAAGTTTCCCCCAAAACTAAAAAATTATCTCTGCCCCTTTTTCTGCTCAGGATTGAACCTAGAACCTAAAGCATGTTGAGAGCACATCTTAATTCTGTAAGGAATTTTAAAATTATTAAATTTAGGTCAATATATTTAATGGAAATATTTTTGCTTCATAAAATGTAGGAATACAAATTTGTGGAGATTGAACCTAAAATGTTTATATCCACTTGTTATCTTTAAAAATATACACACCAGTAGTTCAACAGTATAATATTTATTGGAGGAAAACTATAAAAAAAGATTCACTGTATACTTCCTATATTCACATATCTATTTAACTTTTCCATGTGGTTACATTTTCCCCCCCAATAGATTATGTAAAGATGTGGTAAGAGTTGAAGAGCACAAATTTTCAGAAAATGATGTTAAACAATCCCACAGAGAAGCATCTTACAATTTTATTTGTTGACATAGGGTCTCATGTATCTCAGACTGGCCTCCAACTCCTATGTAGTCAAAGATGATATTGAATTCCCAATCCTCTTGTCTCTACTTCTCAAATGCTGAGAATACAGGTATATACTGTCCTGCCTGACTACAACTTTGTTTTTAGAGTATAGTAGTTACTATTTATATTACATGGTAGAGATGAAAATGAGGTGAACACACAGGCAGTGGAATGTAAAGATTTCCCAATCATGGAATTGTGTTTTCCAATCATGGGGATCAAAGCAAAGTACACATGCTAGTCAAGAAGCACTCTACGATTTACAGCCCCAGCTCAGAATTATATTTCCTACCATTTAATCAAATCACAGTCCTATAATGGAAATACACTTAATTCAGCTCCTCATTAACATACTGAAGTATAACATTTTCTGATGACCATTTTAGCTTTCTTATTAACAAATTGTGTCCCATTGCTGTAAACTTTCCAGTGTGAGATTATTAGAAAACAGATATTAGACAATATGCCACCAACCAAATAATTTTTCTTATTTCTGAAATCACTGACTTTGTGGTGTTAAAGAAAAAGTGATATAGTATAGAGAAATATAATCATTTCCATACAAGACTCTACTGGAGGGTCAGTGACTTAAGGCCACTTATATAACCTGCTTCTGAGTTGGTTCACATTCTCTTGTCTATCTGGAAGACATAAAGGCTATGGAAATTATCTATTTGCCCCTCTATTCCACCCAGAATAAGCTTCAAAATTTTCATCTGCTGACTCACTAGTATTGCTACAGACATAGCAGACTTGGTTATACAAATAGAGATAGCATACAAATAAACCTGTATGCTGCCCTTTGGTTGGTATACAGGGAGACTCGAAGAGCAAAGGGTTTCCCATATCTTTACTTACAAAATATGCTTAATTACAAATATTCTTATAACAGTACATCTTTAACTTTAGCTGATTTATTTAGGATTTTTCATCTCAAAAGTCCTACACTTACCTCTATGGACAATGTCATTCTTGTGGCACCAGTGAATAGCTTTGATGAGTTGGTAGATGTAGCTTTTCACTTTTTCAGGTGGAACTCCATTTGGCATTTCTTCCAGCAATTCAAGCATATTCTAAAAGTAAATACAGAGCCATCCATCTTTAAAATTAGGTAAGCCTATCAATTATGTACTAATAACCTATAGCACCTTAGATAAGGATTCATCCAATATACAGCATGCATATTTTTTGTTTTGCACTTAATATACAACTTAGTTTGTGGTAGACCAGGGTAGTGCATTAAATAAAAGTTTCCCTTTAAGAGAAATTACATTTTTCACTCCTTACTTCTCCCTCTACTACTGAGAGGGGGAAATGAGAAAGAGGAAGGTGGGAGAAAGAGAGAAGAGATTTATATATTTGGTATAAAAATTGAAACATGCTAGAAAATACCATTGAGGGCCAGTGAGATATCTTATCAAGTGAAGACACTCACTGCCTAATTGATGCAAACCAGACAACTTGAATTTGATCCTGAAACTCACATAAATGTGGAAGGTGACAACTAACTACACAAAATTGTCCTTGGGTCCCTTCATCTGCACTGTTGCACCCCCTCCCCACACATAAATGATATAAATATTTTAAAGGATAAAATATTGTTAAAGTAACACACAAGTCCCAAACAATTCAAAAACTTTCAATCTGGAGTCAGAGAATATTTTGTATAAAGTTCATGTAAATTTCTGGTATGTCAGGTATTGTGATGCATGTGTATCACACAGCACGTAGAAGATAATACATAGTGAGACCCTGTCTCCAAAAACAACAGAAATATTAAGTCAAACTTCATTGTATTACCACATTATCCAAATAGTCACCATCTCTTCTGCAAAACACAATCAATAGGGCTCACAGTACAACTTTAGCTTATTGGTGGGAGGTACCCATATAGGGAAACAGCTGACAAAGGGTAACCTGGGGATACACAGAGGCTCAGATGCAACTCCCAGACTCAGGAAGTCACATCATCTTCATCACAAAGCTCAGATGTTTGCCTTTTCACTACTGGCATATACACTGATGGTACACAGTAACAATGGGAAAATTGCTGGAACAGTAATAGGAATCAAGGCAATGAGATTTTCAATCCAACAGACCCTTGCCATTCCATTACATAAAGAACAAAATAACTGTTAGCTAAAGATGCTCTTGATGAAGCATTAGAAAAGAACTGATTTTATGAAATTTTATTGTACACATAATAGTTCCGTTTTGATTGTCAAGTTGACACAATGAGAAGGGAGTCTCAATGAGGGATTGCCTAGATCTGAACGGCCTGTGAGCAGGTGTGTAGGGGATTGTCATGACTGCCTTCACTGATGTGGAAAGACCCAGCTTGAATGTGCATGGCACTATTTCTGGGTTTCTGAACTGTAGAAAAAGTACAGGAAGCTAGCTTAGCATTTAGCTATGCATTAGAATGCATGAATTCATTTCTCTCTATTCCTGATTGTGGATATGACTAGTTGCTTCAAGCTCTTGTTGCTATGACTTTCCTCCACTGACAGAATATAACCTGGACTTTCATGCTAAAATAAACCTTTCTCTTCTAAGCTGCTTTTTTGTCAGGATATGTTGTCACAGCAACGTAAATGAAACTAGGACACATGTCTTTTGAAGAATCTACACATCTATACAGAGCACTTCTGCTGCACTTGTACCAACAGAACCATGGCCGTCCCCACTGGGTGCTGAGATGCATCTGAACCATGGTTATTCTTACTGGATGCTGAAGTGCAGACTGCACTAGACACTTATTGTGCATTTCTAACTTAAAGAAAAACAGAGGTACCATCCACTTGTATTAGCATTATTGGGTTTGTTGTTAATTGTTGTTTTATTTTTGAATTGCTAGCTAAGCACTCTACCACTGAGCTATAACTCTAGGCCCCCCAAAATATTTTTATATTGCTCAGCTTTGTCTAATATGAGAAACACTGCTAGATAAAACCCGCCTAAAAGTTGTGAGGGTTCTCAACAATCTTAACATAATTAAATATCATTATTAACCACTGAAATAATGTTTCTTTAAAAAGAGAGTTGCTATACATATGAAAATCGTGTTTAATAGTTTGGAAATACCTAACAAAGGAGAACCACAAAATGCATTACTGTCTAGTCAATGGTGACAGACATGCATAAAGCATGGGTAAGGAACAGGTGCTGGCAACCGATAATCATAAATACTTATAGGTTCTGCACAGAGATGGCTTTCTAGTTTTTTGAGACTATGCTTCCATTTATAGATGCATTTATGGACATGTTGTATGCAATAAAGACTAATGAGAATTTTAATCAGAACATCAATATATAAAACACCTCAACATACCTCTATAGAGGATTCAATATGTAGTTATGGTTTCAGTTAAAATATCAAAAAGAAGGTTTGCAGCTTTTTAAATCTCTATGCGAATTGCCTTTTTCTAATTAACAAATATATAGGAGACACCAAGAACAAGGAGGCATATGATTGATGAATAGTACAGAAAAGATGGTTATCTCTCAGTTTTTGTTCTATTCAAGGTTCCTAAGGAGATATTATCATGCTCTACAGCCATTTTTCCTTACTCTATAGGGAATACAATTTTCAACCATGGACATAATACTCTGAATGAGTACATTTCCTCTCTGCCTTGCTGTAAATGTGATCTTGTAACTACATACTAGCTAACAGGATGTGACAGCTGGAGTTGACACTAAAGACAAGGAAGCAGAGCTGCCCTTCAGTCCTATGCTATCTCCCATTGTATGTATTTGTGAGAAAGAAAGAGATTCCCATTTTGTTTAAGGCATTGTAATTGTGGGTCTCAGCCAAAAGCTTCCTATTCAGTTTGAGCATCTTTCTCTTTATGCTCCTGAGAATCACTGTAGATTTACAGGCACTGTCACTGGTGGGCAGGTATAATGGTTAGTGGGGGGAGGGAAGGAAGCCCAGGTATCAGTGTCAGAAGGTTGGAATACTGGTCGCAGCACTGTCACTTGGGAGCAGACAGATCTCAGGCAAGCCAAATTGCTCCTCCCAGAGAGAAAACAGATATGCAGAAGAACTATCTGTATTTGATAAACTAAATTGTTATTTATCATAAACTACTACCATAAATACAACAGAAATAGAAAGAGAGAGATTGAAAGACTAGATGTGTCAAATTTCATTATTATTTGGCAGTGAAAGCTAAAAATGGTACAAGCATTTGTAATAACTAGAAAATAAACAATCTATTTTTCTGTAATCCTAGTACAGCAATATTTTTCTTAAAACAAAAAAATTAGTTTTATTTTGATAGGGAAATACCAAAACTAATACAGATAAAGAGATTTTGGGAAAGCAACATACAATAACTGATTAAAAAGATAACCTTCACTGGGTATATTAACCACACTTAAGGGTGGCCATTAGTAGATGGCCAACACAAAATAAACTCAATGATATTTTTGTAAACTTTTTTTTGTCTCATATTGTTTTGTTTGGCTATTCTTTGTCTTACTAGTCATTTGCTTGTATATTGTGATTTCCAATTTTATGTTTTGGGAGTGTCTTATTTTTTGTGCATATGTGTGTGCGTGCATTTTCTTCTTTTTTTTTAATACCATTTTTATTGTTACTGCTTGCCTGTTTGTCTTCTAAAGAGAAAGAGTGAAAGAAGGGGCATGAGTTGGGTGGATCAGGAGGTGGGAAGTAGCTAGGAAGAGTTGGGGGAGGGAAAACCCATGATCATAACATCTATGAAATATTATTTCCATAAAAATATATATATGTACACACACATACATTTATATATATATATGTATGTATGTATATATAAATGAGAGTCTTGTATATTTTAATAATAGTTGCTAACAACAGCTATTATTTTTACATGGTTTATTTCAAAAAATACTTCGTTAATGCTGAATGAACTCAAAGTCACATTACCAGGTCAGGTCTTGAAAACATTGCTTTCTTGTCACTTACATCATAATAAACATCAGGGACTTGACCTAACAGCAAACAACAGCCTCTCCAGTTTTAATTTGTGTTAGGTAACAGCCCATGAAATCATTAGAAGCCACCTATTTACACAGCAACAAAACCTTCAACAGGCTCCAGGCTTCTGGTTTCTCCTACTCTAATCAGCTGAAACCAACTGCTCAATCAGTTGCTCTCTAAGAAATTCAGAGACAGCTAACCTTTTGCCCTTAGATCACAATGTTAAAACAATCATTAATGAGTTACATTCTTTACAAAGTGCTACTAGTGATCTTAACAGCAGCTTCAGGCCTTACCTTACACTTCCCTCAAGAAAGCCAGAGTACTGGCAGTTCAGAAAAAGACTGTCTCTGCTTTGGTATTCACCATCCTAGGTCTTACTGAAGAACCCAGCTCCTATTTGCATGGATCTGGTGTGTGTCTCTACCATCCTTTATCATACTGCCCATTCACCCATTTCTCCCACAGAGCTTTTGTTCATGTTTAATTGAAATACAACTAATCTGAAAACCACTTTTTGTACATAGACTCTAAGACTTCAGAAGCCATATCACTATGCTGTTTACACTTAAAATAACCTGAATGCTTCTACATTGTACAAAATCCCTAAACCTATTTCAGGACATCTAGTGACTGTGGGAGATATTCTCAGTTTTAAGAAACCTCAGATTATGAATCCACTGAAAGTAACACTACTTTCTTCAAAAATCTCCTTTTCTGTGTTAGTGTTGGTATTTCTTCAATAGTGTCAAAACCAAACAAACAAAAATAACGTGAATCTGCACACTGGAGATTCATGACTTACTTTCTCAACATATTCAAACACCAGGTAGAGTTTGCCTCTCCGACGAAAGGCCTCCTTCAGCTCCACAATGTTTTCCTGCTTGAGAGTGCGAAGCATTTTAAGCTCTCGTAAAGTCGTTTCCTTGACTTCTTCATTTTCTAGATTCAAGGCAATGGTGAAGAGAAAATACATTAAAGCTGTCAAAGCTACCATTCAAAGAATTTTAAGGGCATTGACAACATCTTCTACTTATGAAGTCCACACATTTTCTTGGTGAGAGAAAGAAAATGAGAAACTTAAAGGCCGAGTTGGACTGGTGGTGCACACTTACAGTCCCAGCACTTATGAAGCTGAGCCTGGAGGATGGTAAGTTCCAGCCCAGCCTGGGCTATGAGGTACCAAAAAAGCCCCAACCAAAATGAACAACAAAGAAAAGGCATCTTCATATAGCTCAAACCCATGTTTTGCTCGTATTTTCTTTTGGTTGTACCAAATCATAGATTTACAGACATAGTATATGAATTCATCATCATTGTAGCCCTAACATTCTATATTGGGGAAGACAATGTTTAAAAGAGTTCTGAGAATCAACCCCATCAATGTACAGAGGAGATTCTGTGTCCGGTACATGTAGCACTTGATGTCTTATGGTTGGCTTCGAGTTTTAGCTTAAAAGAGCATTTTATTCTCCTAGCTGCTTGTGAATCACTTCAGTGAGCACAGGTTGTACATCAGACATTCATGACGCAGTTCATGGCCAAATCACGGGGGATTCTAAAGAGTGTCTATTTCTCTGAACAGCAGCTGCTCTGGGTTCCTGCAGCCTTCTCATGGCATATCCATCTGTGTATCCCAGATGGTGTAGCTGTTCTGGGATGGAGAACTTATGCTGTACTAGTACCTGCCCTTCTGTACCATCAACTTTCACTTGTGATAACCTCTACAGATATAGAGAAAGGGCAGACATCACATTAGTGGTAAATGGATAAATGGGCAGGCAAACAAGAGGCTAATATTTCACTTTAAATATGTGCTTTTGATAGCTTCAGAGGTGACTGGGAAATTCTAAGCAGTGTGTTTTCAATAATTATGTTCAAGAATACAGGTTCGTAATTCCCAAGTCCCTAGTTGGAAAACTGAACCTGTTTTAAGTTTGTGACAAATTCATGCAGAGGCAAAACAAAATTGATATGAGATTCTTTATGGTATTTGTTTAACCTGCTTAATATGAATATTCATAGTCTATGCTATAGAAATATGCCTTGATTACAGAGTGCTATATAACATGCCATATTTCCACTCTAAAACTTTGAAATTATGAATTCAAAAACACATTAAGCCTCAAGGCTTTGGCTAGAGGCCAGAATACAGGCTTGGGCAATTATGCTGTGGGGAGTGTAATCTCAAGTATGTCTTTAAGTCTGAAGAGAAAGAAACTGAAATTCCATGACAGGAACAGGAAAACCTATGGCTTTCAGAAAGGTATGCTGTGTACACAAGACACCCAAGAGGGAAAAAGTTGACTGGGGACTGGGATGGGGAAAGGGAAAGATTCTAAATGCAGAATGAAATACTAATAATCTAATTTTCTGTCCAGCTTCCTCATCCAGCCCTTCTCCAAAATGAGTTTAAAGAGGCTGAGGAAAAAGAGGCTGGTAGAAGCAGGTCTTTGTGGAATTGCTGAAGCCATGACAATCTTCTCTGTGCCCTGGTTTTATAAGTTTGGTACTCTTCAGCTAGGAAACAATTGGAGATTGCTGGGACACAGCTTAGTAAAGGACATGGATGCTGCCCATGCAGAAGGCCAATGATAGCAGAAGCAGTGACCCACCCCTCAATGAGGGAGAAGAATTGGACAGTGAATCCCATAAGGCAGGATGAATGGGAGACATGCAACTGGAGACTTCCTGAATTTGTGAAGGGCTAGCTGTTGTGTAAGTTGGTGGTCTTCATTACTGCTGAGTACTACAGTGGCCCCAGCCACTAGGCCTGGGAACAACCACCAGCCTCCACAAGAAACTTCATCAGGGTCTCCAATTGCGTGTCCTCTGCATCTTAGACTTTTAGTTACCCAAACAGCTCTAACCTTTGTCAACATGGGGCCATTTCCCCTGTTCTCTCATCCCAGAATGTTCAGAATTCTACCCTGGCTCTTAGCAGCACTGGTTCTTTCAGGATTTGTAGTAAAATTTCATTCCTCAAGGGGATTCCCCAGATCCTAAAGTAGCATGACTCGTCATGCTACCATTCTGTATCACTATATGCAGGGCTTTCTTCTCACAGAGCAGCTCAGCATGTTTCTTGATACAAGTGGAGTATCCCTGACACCTGGAATGCTTAGGACCAAGTAGTAGTTCAAATTTTATATATTTTTGATTCATGTGTAAATATGCACACATGTAAGCATGTTGGGGGGCTGTCTGTGTTGTGGTGTGTGTGTGAGAGAGAGTGTGTGTGTGTGTATGTGTGTGTGTGTGTGTGTGTGTGTGTGTGTGTGTGTGTGTGTATGAGAGAGAGAGATCTTGAGATTTGAACTCAAATTCCAATACAAAATTCATTATCTTTCATCTACCTGTATCCTGGAGGCAACTTTATACCATATTTTCAGTGTGCTTATGTTTTGACTTCAACATATCACATGAGGTCAAGTATGAAATTTCCTACTTACAACATCAGACAAGCACTCAATGAGTTGTATATTTGAATACATTTCACATTTGGACTTTGGGACTGAGGCTGCTCAACATGCTACTTATTCCTTACTGATTGATTAAGCTCTTCTGTACAATATACACTCAACTTTGCAGAACTGTGAACAATGGGAGCTTCCTAATAGAAATGCTTGAGCTGGGCCTGTGAGGAGATCTTCATGCATATGTCTAGCTCTACCCAACTTCAGATGTTGGAAGTGGGAAGGAAAGGGTGGCCAACAATTAAACTTTGTCCCCTCAATTTTGAGTAGAGTGCTTTCCCCTTTTCTTTTGAGGACTTTGAAAGGCCTGCTTGTGAGATAATGTAAAAGAAAGAATTTATTTTCCTTTTTTTTCCTCTCTGACCATGATTTTTCTAGAATATTAAAAATGGGGACTCCAGAAAACTAATAGCATTTAGAGACAACAGTGTATATGTCTACATACAAAATCCTTAAGGAGATCAACAAACTATACTGGAGTACAAAGTTGCTAAGTAAATAGAGCTGATATTTCTTCCCTAATCAAATGCTTGGGAACTCTTGGCATTTAAAAAGCAAGCAAAAAGAGGGTGTTATGCACTATTATGAAGTTGGGGCAGTTTCATTGTGCTAATAAAAGAAGTAACTGTGGAATGTCCAAATTAAAATAGTGATGAAAGAAGGAAAACTGCAATAGAATTATGGAGATCTAGACTTAGATTCTGCCTTTTAAGCAATTTATGCTGTAACATGCAACTATGGGCAAGGCACTTACATTTTCATCAGTAAATAAATCTAGAACGTTGTGGTTTTTTCATTAAAGTGTTTCTGAATATAGACTTTTCATCAGTAAATAAATCTAAAATTCTGTGTTTTTTAATTAAAATTTTTCTTATTATCTTTGGTTGTGAGCCTAGCCTTTAACAACTGAGCCATCCCTCTAGCCAAAGACTTTCTGATGATAAATCTCATTGAATTTTGGTAATTGATAAATACACCATTCTTTCATACTGTCTCCACCAAAGTGGAGTTATAAAAGGATAAAGTAAAGGGTTTATTCTGAAAAATCTATGAAGAGAGAAAGAAGTTAAATCATTTTTCAAAAAGAAGCACATACTAAACCAGGCCTAGTGGCACAAGCTTGTAATCCTAGCTACTTGGAAGACTAAAGCAGGAGGATTCCAAGCTTAAGGCCAGTATGGGTAGCTTCCTGAGACCATGTCTCTAAATAAAATAAAATAAAAAAAAGTAAGAAGGCGGCCTGGGATATAGCTTGGTGGAAAACTTTCTGAGCAGGTACAAGCCCTTAGTTCAATTCTCAGTACCAACACACACACACACACACACACACACACACACACACACACACACACACAGGGGAGGCAGGCACATACAAACATCACTTAGGGTGTAATGTGCAAAAATAACCTCATTTGAGCTGCCTTTTAAGGAAATGAGGCTCCTTTATGCCAGCCATAAGTAAGCAGCCAAGCATTAGACTGTAATGACTGGGAACAGGCAGGAAATGGAATTATTAATTCCCAAAGTGAAAGCAAACTATGTACTTGTCAATATTTGGAATGTCCTATAATTTTGTTTCTGTAAGTACTTTTAAGGTTTCTAGCCTTTTCTACACTTGATAGTGAAAATTGTGGTACTAAATGATGAGATGATGGAGAAAATTAATACACACTTCACTGACACATGCCCTTCTTCTAAAACAAGCAGAAAGTGGCAAAACATTACAAATCATAGCACAATCCATGAAAACCAGCACCTTCCACCCTCCCATCCCCAAATCACTACTACCTAAGATAATTTTTATCTGTTATGTATGCTATTTTCCTCAGTTTATAAAAAAGGATTGAACACTAAAAAGGATAACTAAGTTTCTAGGGTGCATGGACTTGAGACACATTCAGCGTCATGTCTTCAGTTCAACATCAGGACTTAGGTGGCATGGTATATCACAGTGAACTTTGGAGAGTAAGTCACAACATGTAGGTTGACACCTAGACTTTGTAAGCCATATAGCCAAAGAACATAGTATGGCCAGGAGAAATAGTCAGTGAAGTTCCTAGGTATTCAGAAAAACAAAACAGCCTTTCACCTATAAAGTGGAACTTCAGTTACTTTGGGTTATTCTAAAGGCCTCTCCTAGTTCAAAAAGTCAATGTTTCTATACCTGATAATGAGAATGCTAACCAATTTCATCATTAGGCACCACTGAAAAAAGACAAGCCAAGTGGTTCACATCTATAATGCTAGCACTCAGAAGGCTAAGACAGGTGAACTGCTACAAGTTCAAAGACACCCTTGGCTAAATGGTGAGTTCTAGGCCAGCAATGATTTTAAAGGTCCTCTTTCAAAATATAGTGAAGAGGGAAGAGGCAAGGGTGGAAAAGAGGGAAAAGGAAAGAACAGGATTGATTGATTGATCAATTGAAAGAAAGAAAGAAAGAATGAATAAATGAAAATTTCATTTCA